AGGCACAACCCTGACATTGGCAGAGACCTGTTTCCCGAGTGGACCGAGGAGCAGCGCACGGCGTTTCTTGACGAAAAAGAGGCTCTTTTCAGAAGGTCCGTGCGTGTTGCTGTGGGTGGTGTTGATATTGTGCGGTATTGGTAATGGGATCGTACAATCAGGGGTCAGTGTGTGATAGTGTCGTGTTATGAACAGGCTTTTAATCTGTGAGGTGTAGTGATGAAGTTGCTCTGTTTTTTGCATTTGTGTGTGAGCTGAATACTCTGTTTCCCTTGTAATCTTCTCCCAATCCCCCTCTTCCTAAGCCTAACATTTGAATGCAGCACCGTTCCATGCTTTCATTTGGTTCCAACAGCACACCAAAATTCATGACACACGTTCATTGATCATGACTGGCTGACTGCTCAGACTTCAACGAGCACACCAACTCCCTCCTCCCAACCCTCAATCCTCACATCAGACTGGCAGGAGACCACATCAAGCCAGTGGCTGGGCTGGACAGGCTGTGCGCTTGGATAGAGGCTACAGGGCTGCGCAGAGCCGCAGTGACAAACGCCCCGAGGGAGAATGCGGAGCAGATGCTGGCAGCGCTGGGCCTCACCTCCTTCTTCGAGCACCTCATCATCGGGTCCGAGTGTGCCCGCGCCAAGCCGTTCCCCGACCCGTACCAGGAGGCCATGCGCCGGTTCGGCGTGCGGCCGGACGAATGCTTTGCGTGCGAGGTGAGCCTGTCTTAGGCTGGGATGGGAGGGGAGGTGCAGCAACGGGCAGGGCCTGGACGAGCGGAGGGCAGGGGAAAGGGGCGGGCAGTGGTGATCAGAGGGGCGAGGGATGCATTGGAGCCACCTGAGGGGGGGGAAGTAGTAGCATGGAGGGGGGGAGGTGCGGGGTGCAGGATAAGGGAAGTCTGATACACTGAAGTATCAGACTTCTGGAAGAGTGAAGGAGAGTCACTAGGGTGTTGTGAAGAGCACAGTTCACGGTTGATTCTGGAACTGAAAAATGTGTTTTCTTCTTAACTAACTGATTTGCAGGACTCGCCTTCGGGCATGAGAGCAGCCGTGGCAGCGAATCTTGCAACAGTGGGTGTACTGACTGGAAACACAGAAGACGCGTTGTATAAAGCAGGGGCAGCCATTGTTGTGAGGGACTATGACGATCCACTTCTCTGGTCGCAGCTCACAGCTTGATCGAATCGAGTCACTAAAATAAGTGATTCATCTTGTGTTGAGCCACAAGGAACTGGGATATGTGATGAAATACCGCACCATGCACAAATTACCAGTATGGTATTGTATGCATATCACTGTGATAATACAGATCGAAACTACCTGTCATTGTTTCGGAGAGAAATACCGGTACAGTGCAGGCGCAAAAGACTTTGTTGGCACAGCTGGCTTTTTATTTATTCCCAGTCAGTCAGAGGCAGACATACAGAAGCAAGTACCGTACCGGCGGACCCATGAGGTCTGATTGGTGACTGGTTTGTGGGGCAGCTGCAAATGCAGTCATGGGGCATGGAGTGTGGTATTTTGAGTCAACAACTCTGTAGGACTCGCTGGCGGTGTACTGCTGATGCCATGCTGAAGCTTGAGGCCCAGATGCAAGGATCTGGAATTAGCTGTGTGGCTGGAGTGTTGGTTTTCTGGATGGGTAGGCTGGTTAGCAGGTTAACTGGTTGGCTGCTTTGCTGCTTTACCACTCGGCAGCTTGTTTGATTCGCTTATTGGCTGGTGGCTGCAGCATCAGGCCATTTCTGCACTGCAAATCCTGCGCAATCTGTGCCTGCCAATCCGCGCAATCTGCACAATCTAACCCTCCTTCCTGCCAGTCCCTGCCATCCACTCTTTTGCACGAGAAGGGTTTGCCTGTCTCATGGGTTCTTGGTGGTGGTTTTTTTCTGTATGTGCATGCATGCTGCATGCACCGCATGTTCAGTGCCCTGCATTTCCATGCTCTCATCCCTGCACGGGTGCCTGGCATGGCACAACACCTGAAGGACACTCCGTCCTGCTTGGGTGTTTGTGCCCAGGCAGGCACCTTCCAGGCTGCCCACCCCACCCACCTATTCCACAACAGGCAGGCCCATCCCATCCCAGCACAGCACAGCGCAACACACCTAAACAAACCTACCACAGCTAAGCACAGGTGAGCAAAGCAAAGCACAGCAGTGGTCGAATTTGAGCTCTTGGTGGTGCATGCACCAGCAAGTGGCAGCCCACATGCTGATGGCCTAACAGCTAAGCACAGATGAGCAAAGACAAGCACAGCAGTGGTCGAATTTGAGCTCTTAGGCTTTTAGTCTCAGGTTTAGGCTTAGTCTTAGGCTTTTAGGCTGAGGCTTAGGCTTAGGCTTTTAGGCTTAGGCTTAGGCTTGACTTAGGCTTAGGCTTAGGCTTAGGCTCTTAGGCTTAGGCTTAGTCTTAGGCTTTTAGGCTGAGGCTTAGGCTTTGGCTTAGGCTTTTAGGCTTAGGCTTAGGTTTAGGCTTAGGCTTGACTTAGGCTTAGGCTTAGGCTCTTAGGCTTAGGCTTAGGCTTTTAGGCTTAGGCTTAAGCTTAGGCTTTTAGGCTGAGGCTTAGGCTTAGGCTTTAGGCTTTGGCTTAGGCTTAGGCTTAGGCTTTTAGGCTTAGGCTTAGGCTTGGGCTTAGGCTTAGGCTTAGGTTAGGCTCTTAGGCTTAGGCTTAGGCTTAGGCACTTAGGCTTAGGCTTAGGCTTAGGCTTAAGCTTTAGGCTTAGGCTTAGGCTTTAGGCTTAGGCTTAGGCTTAGGTTTAGGCTTAGGCTTAGGTTTAGGCTTAGGCTTAGGCTTTTAGGCTGAGGCTTAGGCTTAAGCTTAGGCTTAGGCTCTTAGGCTTAGGCTCTTAGGCTTAGGCTTAGGCTTAGGCTTAGGCTTAGGCTCTTAGGCTTAGGCTCTTAGGCTTAGGCTTAGGCTTAGGTTTAGGCTTAGGCTTTAGGCTGTGCTTTGCTTTGCTCATCTGTGCCAAGTGGCAGCCCACCAGGCTGCTAGGCTGCTAAACTGTTAGGCTGCTAGGCTGTTAGGCTGCTAGGCTTGTTAGGCTGCTAGGCTGTTAGGCTGCTAGGCTTGTTAGGCTGCTAGGCTGTTAGGCTGCTAGGCTGTTAGGCTGCTAGGCTTGTTAGGCTGCTAGGTTGTTAGGCTGCTAGGCTTGTTAGGCTGCTAGGCTGTTAGGCTGCTAGGCTTGTTAGGCTGCTAGGCTGTTAGGCTGCTAGGCTGTTAGGCTGCTAGGCTGTTAGGCTGCTAGGCTGTTAGGCTGCTAGGCTGTTAGGCTGCTAGGCTGTTAGGCTGCTAGGCTGGAGCAATCCGCCACACTCCAGAGCTTGAAGGCTGAGAGGAACACTCCTAGCCATGCACACACGCACACGCACACATGCACGCCCCCACCCCCCTTCCCCCCATCCCCCCTTCTCCCCACACGCACATGAACAGTACCCGTCCACTCGCTGCCATTCCCGTCCGTCTCGCAGGACGTGAAGGACACACACGCATGGGGAGAGAGAGAGACAGGCACACATACGAGGCACAACAAGGGAGGGTTAGAAGCAGCGGGGAGGGGAGTGGCGGAAGCAAGGGCAACAGACACGACTCTTGCCTCTGCGCGGCGACACCCTACGACTCACTTCACGGCCCCCCTGCAAGCACCCCCTGGCACGTACCACGCTCCGTCTGCCACTCGCCCACGCCTGCGCCATGCCTTCACTTGAGGCGCCCCCGTGCTGCCATTGCTCTCCGTGTCACAGGCCACCAGGCACACACACATGGGGAGAGAGACACACACACGCATGGGGAGAGAGATACACACACACATGGGGAGAGAGACACACACACTCATGGGGGGAGAGATACACACACACATGGGGGGAGAGATACACACAGAAGCAGCAAAGAAGGGCACAAGAGGGAAGGAGAATGGCGAAGTGGCATGCCAGTTGATCTGGTCCACTCACAAGTACTTGTGTGCAGTTGTGAGTGGACAACTCATCCCGCAGACGAGAGGAACTTGAAGAGTGGCGTGAGCAAGTAGAGGAGAAGCGAGTGGATGAGAGGTTGAGGATGTGAAAGAGTGTTGACATGCCAGCTGGAAAGAGCATTGACATGCCAGAAAAAATGGTAAATGGCAGCCATAGACGGGGCTGAGACAAGACGCAACGGAGAATGCATTCGCCCTGCTGCTGCATCCTCACTCTTGGTTACCTCTTGTCTTGGAGAAGCAAGCAATGGATGTTGTTCACAACGCACTCCACGGCTCGGAGCCTGAGAGACGCACTCACAGGCATGCACACGCACACAAGGACAGGCACCGCCCCCCCAACCCACCCCTACTCTCCCCCTCCCAACCCCCCCTTTCCACCCCTCCCCCCACCTCCTCACGATCATGGGGAGAGAAATCGCACACACAGAAGCGGCAAGGGAGGGTTAGGAGCAACAGGAGAGGAGGCGAGTGGCAGAAACAAGAACAGAGACACGACTCTTGCCTCTGCGCGGCGCTTCATGGCCCCCCTGCAAGCACCCCCTGGCACGTACCACGTTCCTTCCGCTGCTCTCCCAGTTTTGCGCCACGCCTTCACTTGAGGCGTCCCTGTGCTGCCATTGCTCTCCGTCTCACAGGCCACAATGCACACACACACACACACACACACACACACACACACACACGAGAAGAGAGAGAGACACACACACGGGGGGAGAGAGACACACATATGGGGGGAGAGAGACACACACACATAGAAGAAGGTTAGAAGCAGCAGGTGGCGAGTGGTGGACCCGCAAGCAACAGACACGACTCTTGCCTCTGCGCGACGACACCCTATGACAGTTCACGCCCCCCCTGCAAGCACCCCCTGGCACGTACCATGCTCATTTCGTTGCTCTCCCACTCCTTCGCCACACCTTCACTTCACGCGTGCTGCTCCAGGTGTGGTGCTCGGCGTGGTGCTCCAGGCGTGGTGCTCCTTGCGTGCTGCTCCAGGTGTGGTGCTCCATGCATGGTGCTCCAGGCGTGGTGCTCTAGGCGTGGTGCTCCTTGCGTGCTGCTCCAGGTGTGGTGCTCCAGGCATGGTGCTCCAGGCGTGGTGCTCCAGGCGTGGTGCTCCTTGCGTGCTGCTCCAGGTGTGGTGCTCCAGGCATGGTGCTCCAGGCGTGGTGCTCCAGGTCAGCTGGTTGGTCTGATGGACTCACAAGTCCTGGTGTGCTGGCCTGCCCATCACCCTGGCCATGAAGGGGGGAGAGCGAGGCGAGGGGATCATGATAACTGCATAGAGTAAGACAAGAGAACGAGCCAAGCCACATAGACAAGTGTAAAGGGAGACGGGTAAGATTTGAGGCACCTGACAATAGCCCGGGCGGCATTGAGCAACCAACAAATAGAAGGAACTTAGTTGCGACAGGATAAGCTGCACTCACCCCTCCTTTTCTGCTGCAGCCGCCACTGCAGCTGCCATTGACGTTGCAACTGATGCAAGCACCACTGGCACCACTGCCACCGCTGCCCATGCGGCTGGTTCTGGACAAAAGGTGCGGCACTTGGCTATGTCTCACTCCACTGCTGCTGCTGCAAACAGCGCGCGCTCTGGATAAAATCTGCTGATGAATGGGCGGAGAGTTGAGAAAAGCAGACGAGAGGAGTGGAGAGCTTTTGGAGCTGAGAAGAGTGCCACGAAAAATTGGCAGCACACCAGCAAAGATATGTGGGCAGTGTCGAAACATGGTAGACATGACCGAACTAAACACGAGAACGCAAGAAGACTGCGAATGGAGAAGCGGTGTACTGGTTGGTCTGATGGACTCACAACTCCTTGTGTGCTCGCTATCATCCCTCAGCTGTTGCAGCCACTGGTGATCACTGCGTTGCTGCAGCCACTGGTGATCACTGTTGGTGCAACCCTACGGTTTGCACTCGGCTTGTTGTCCGTGTGCGTGAATGTGTGTGTGTATGGAATGGTATGAGGGCATGGGATAATATATATTTCATGCTTATAATTGTGTGTGAATGTTGAGTCATGATGTCGAGTGTGTGTGTCGAGTCAATAGCGAGTTATCGCTAGACGCGTGTTACGCGGTCGTTTGTGTCTCGCGCGCGGTTTCTATTTTGTCGTGCGCGGTTTCTATTTTGTCCTGTGTCGAACGTTCGGCGTGTCGCAGGTGTGTGCAGCAGACCCATCAAGAACTCAAGGATGAGTTTGTGATGAAGAGCCCGAGCCTTGGTGTCAAGCCTCAAGTGATTTCGAAGCTTGCCAAAAGGGTACACCTCAAGATATTGAAGATAGTTACATTACTTTGTGTAGTGTAACATTTCACTTGGTGTAGGCCCTAGTGAAGGGTAGTTTCGAGACCCTTCGTGGTTGGGGACAGTGTGGCACTGTTCCACATCACTGTACCTCGGCTCTTAGGGTTTGTAGGAGCTGGGAGTCATTCCCAACTCGTAACTCTTCCTATCTTGTGTTCTAAGACTATAGTGGCTGCCATAGTACCGTTCGTTCAAACCGACGCTGTGTCGTCAATTCTTTATCAAATCGTGCAATCTAAATTGCTAATTGTAGACGACGTGAAAACGCTCCAGATCCAATTTGAATCAAGTCATTTGCAGCTGTGAGCAGAACGCTATCAACGTTTGAAGCCGCTGTGCAGAAATCCGTCTGTGCTCTCTATCTTTCGTTTTAGGCACATTCAAGCCTATTGTGACTATAACAAGTGGTATCAGAGCCCCTTGGAGCAGTTTCGACAATGTCTGGACCTGAGGAAAGGGGTGGCAGAGGTGCTGGTGGCAGTGGAGAAGCTCAAGCTCAAGGCCAACCCCGTGATTCAGCCATGGCGCCCATGCAACCAAGTCTTGGCCCACCTAGGGATGAGTCTAGGGTGTTTGGGCTTGACAAGTTCAACGGTGACAACTTTGCTGAATGGTCCTTCAAGATGGAGAACATCTTTGACCACTATGACCTGCTGGAGGTGATGGAAGGAACGGAGAAGCGCCCCGAGAACGACCCGGAGAAGAGCCCGTGGGTGCGGAAGAGCGCACAAGGCTATCTCTTACTTGGGCAAGCGTTGGGGAGCAGTCAGATCCGTCACATCAAGCCATTCCAGCGTGAACCAGAGAAAGGACCAAAGGCATGGGCTGCTCTCAAGGGTGTACATGCTCCTGCAACAGCGGCGGTAGCGGTGGTGTTGGAACGGCAAATGGCGGCACTACGAATTGAAGAAGACGAAGCAGAAATTCTTCGACTTGTTGACGCGGCTTGAGGGAGCTGATTTGAACTACAGTGAGCTCCAAAAGAAGACCAAGTTGCTGGCCTTACTCCCAGAGTCATGGTCCTCGCTCATCATCAACCTTAATCGCGACTTGCCCCGCCTCTCGCTTGAAGACGTGAAGCGAGCTATCCTTCAAGAGGATTTCCGCCGCCGTGAGTTGGCGAGTGCGGATGGCGCTGGGGCAGCGAGCATCGGCCGTGGATATGGAAGAGGCAGAGGACGAGGGGGAGGAAGGTTTGGTGGCAGCAACTTCGGCGGAGGCCGCGGGAGTGGCGGTTACGGCAGCGACGACAAGAGCTACGGACGCGGTCGCGGCCGATTCGACGGCGAGTGTCACTATTGCCACAAGAGCGGACACATGTGGCGCGACTGCTACAAACTCCCTGATGGTTGGACCCCTGCTCAAGGCCAAGAGGGTAGAGGAGCAGGAGGAGGGAGAGGACGAGGCCGTGGAGGCCGTGGCGGTCGCGGTGGCGGAGCTGCAAACATGAAGAGCGGAGACAACGACAAGGACCCGAGCGACGATCGATACCCGGGTCTATTCTACTTCGTGTCGACGCAAGTACCGGCTGGTCCAGAGAAGGATGAAGGCTTTGAGGAGCCAGCAGCTGTGGGGAAGGTGACCCTACACCCCCTGGACTATTGGGTGATTGATAGTGGCACTACCTATAGCATGACACCTCGCCCGGACTTGCTCACCGAACTCGAGCCGTCACCGGTGAAGCATGTCACATCGGCTTTGGGGCAGCGAGCAGAGGTGAAAGGCATGGGCAAGGCCATGTTCAAGGGTGCTGATGGGAAGATGGTGGGCCTCAAGAACGTGCTTTGGGTGCCCAGCCTTGCTGCAAACCTGATTTCCGTGCGGCGGTTGGCAAAGGCCGGCATGGACACGAACTCGAAGGGAGCCAAGACCTACACCGCAAGGCTTGGCGATCGAATTCTTTGGGACCTTCATGAGGATAGGGATGTCTACAACGAGATGTGGCAGATCCCAGTGGTCCCTATGCCTAAGGAGAGGCAAGTGGCAGCAAGCATCAGCACCAAGGATGGAGCGGTCGGTAGCGACGATGGCGCGAACGGTCGCGCTAAGGAGAATGAGCTCAAGAAGAGCAAACCTGGAGGGACCAGCAAGTTTAGTGAACCTAAGGAGAGTGGTGCAGCAACCAAGGAGCAGAGTATGTGGGGCGCTACGGAGAACCCAGAGGCAGCAGCGGAGGAGGACTACGGAGAGAGTATGTGGGGCGCTATTGCGAGCGCGGCATTCTCCAATCCAACTTCGGCTACGGGGGAGTGTGATTGGCTCACCTTGCATCGGCGCATGGGGCATGTGGCCCTGCCCATCTTGCAGCAGCTAGTGAAGAATGAGATGGTTGCTGGCATACGTGTGAAGGGGGAGCCCGATGAGGTGCTTGGCTGCCCGACGTGCATTCAAGCCAAGTTCACCCGGTTTCCGTTCCCTAGTTCGGAGGCAACGGCAAAGGCACCGCTTGATGAGGTGGTGATGGACGTGGTGGGCCCCCTGAAGCTTGGAGCTGCTGGAGCTGAGTATTTTCTCACCATTGTCGACGTCTACACCCGCATGACTTGGGTGTACGTGCTGGCCAAGAAGAGCGACGTGGCTGAAACGTTGAAGACGGATTGGTTCCCGATGGTGGAGCGGCAACAAGACCGTCTAGTCAAGTCAATCCGCACCGATCGAGGGGGAGAGTTCCTGAGCAAGGAGTTTGGGTTGTGGCTGAAGAAGAATGGTATTCGGCACTCCTTCACCATGCCATACTCCCCTGCAATGAACGGCATCGCCGAGCGAGCGAACCGCACAATCACGGAGGCGGCACGCGGGTTGCTCATTGAAGCCGGGCTACCCGACTATTTCTGGCCTGATGCGGTGCGGAGCGCGTGTGTGGCCAAGAACATAGCCTTGACTCATGTGGGAGCAGACAAATGGGTGCCCTATGTGGAGTGGCTAGGAAGGAAGCCAAAGGTGGATATGCTTCGGGTGTTCGGGTGCATGTGCATGGCGCTCGTGCCTAAGCATCTTCGGCACAACAAGCTTGGTGCCAAGGCGGTGTGGGCCGTGCACTTGGGCATGGCTCAAAACAGCAAGGGATGGCTTCTTTGGGACCCATTCACCAAGAAGTTCTTGGTGAGCAGGGACTGCAAGTTCATGGAGAACTTCATGTACAAGGATTGGAAGGCGGAGAATGAGGCGAAGATAGGCGTGCGGTTTGGGGAGGTGAAGAGTTCCGGTTTGGAGCATGTGGAGCTGCCTTTGGAGCTGAGCAGCGGCAGCACAACCACAAGGCAATCCTCCCTTGTGAATGGGGGAGAGGAGGCCAATGATGCAGAGGAAGAAGAGGAGGAGGTGCAGCAAGTGAGCGAGCGTGCACCGTCACTCCCTTCCCGTACTACGAGTGCTCCACGGATTCGAGCCACACCGCAGCAACGCCAAGGCCTTCAAGTCCCTGCAGCTGAGGAGGAAGGAAGGGGGAAGAGGAGAGTTCAACCCCCTAATAGGCTGACCTATGATGCGCCGGGAAAGCAGGGCAAGACAGCCCTGGCCGGAGCGGCAATGATGGTCGGAGACGACGAGGAGAGTGACTACGAGGAGTGTGCCTTCGCGTTCTTCTCTCCGGTGGAGATGCCGGGAGAACCAGCAACTCTCAAGGAGGCTTTGGAGAGTAGTGATGCTGAGGAGTGGAAGAAGGCCATGGAGAGTGAGCTGAAGAGCATCGAGGAGAATGACACGTTTGAATTGGTGGAGCTACCGGAGGGGCGTACGGCGATAACGTCCAAGTGGCTCTTCAAAATCAAGTCGGATGCCGACGGCAAGATCGAGCGCTACAAGTCTAGGCTTGTAGCCAAGGGGTACCAGCAGAAGGAGAAGGTGGACTTCAAGGAGCTGTTTGCCCCTGTGGTGAAGCCGACGACGCTGCGAACCCTATTCGCGGGAGCCGCCATCAAAGGATGGGTAGTAAAGCAAATGGACATCGTAACGGCATTCCTTAACGGCATCCTTGAGGAGGAGATTTTTATGGCGCAGCCAGAGGGGTTTGATGATGGTAGTGGCAGAGTGTGGAAGCTGAAGAAGGCCCTCTATGGGCTGAAGCAGGCCCCTAGGCAATGGTACATGAAGCTGCGCGAAGTGTTGGAGGGGATCGGCTTCACTCCCTCAACGGCCGATCACTCCTTGTTCATGCTTGGCGAGGGGGAGCAGAGGAGTTTCATGGTGGTTTATGTGGATGACATCCTCATTTTCTCACCCTCTTCTGACCTTGTGAAGGAGGTGATGCTGAAGCTTCAAGACAAGTTCAAGTGCAAGGCCCTTGGTGACGTGAGCTTCTACCTTGGGCTCCACATCGAACGAGATGTGGAGAAGCGGTGCATGCGGGTGCATCAACGAAAGTACCTGGAGGCATTGGCTGCCAACTTTGGGCAGAGTGAAGGCCATGTGGCTACACCCTTTCCCTCTGGGTTCAAGTGTGTGAAGGGGCCAGAGGAGGAGAGCGTTGGAGAAGAGGAGAGGCACCGATTTCACTCGTTGGTGGGCAGCCTCATGTATGCGACGGTAAACACCCGACCGGACGTCGCGTTTGCTACCGGGCAGCTGGCTAGGGTTGTGCAATGCCCTAATGAGGAGCAGGTAGCAGCTGGAATGAGGGTGGCCAAGTATCTTGGCCAAACACCGACCGTTGGGCTGCAATACTCGGCGGCGGCACAAAGGCGCCAAAAGGGCGCGGATGGTGTTGAACCCGGGCGTTTGTTCCTCACCGCCTACTCGGATGCTTCATATGCATCAGAACCAGAGGACATGACAAGTGTGGGAGGCTTCATATGCTGTGTTGGTGGAGGCCCAACTGCTTGGGAGAGCAAGAAGCAGGTTGACCAAGCTTTGAGCTCGGTGGAGTCCGAGTACATGGCACTCTTCCGTGCCGTACGGGAGATTGTGTGGCAGCGGCGTTTGTTGGCTGAATTGGGGGAGGAGCAGCAAGGACCTACCCCACTGTACTGTGACAGCCAGGGTGCCATTGCTCTTGCTAAGAACCCTGTGTTGCATGGACTCACGAAGCACATGAGGGTGAAGTGGCATTGGACGAGGAGCATGGTAACCGCGGGTGAAGTTGAGTTGCGGTACGTGAAGACCACGGGGCAGCCGGCTGACATGATGACCAAGAGGCTGGTGGAGCAGCAGCATTGGAAGTGTTGCAAGCTGGCTGGGATGAGAGCAACATATCCTAAGGCCAACAATCCGAGGGGGAGTTTGTTGGTGCAACCCTACGGTTTGCACTCGGCTTGTTGTCCGTGTGCGTGAATGTGTGTGTGTATGGAATGGTATGAGGGCATGGGATAATATATATTTCATGCTTATAATTGTGTGTGAATGTTGAGTCATGATGTCGAGTGTGTGTGTCGAGTCAATAGCGAGTTATCGCTAGACGCGTGTTACGCGGTCGTTTGTGTCTCGCGCGCGGTTTCTATTTTGTCGTGCGCGGTTTCTATTTTGTCCTGTGTCGAACGTTCGGCGTGTCGCAGGTGTGTGCAGCAGACCCATCAAGAACTCAAGGATGAGTTTGTGATGAAGAGCCCGAGCCTTGGTGTCAAGCCTCAAGTGATTTCGAAGCTTGCCAAAAGGGTACACCTCAAGATATTGAAGATAGTTACATTACTTTGTGTAGTGTAACATTTCACTTGGTGTAGGCCCTAGTGAAGGGTAGTTTCGAGACCCTTCGTGGTTGGGGACAGTGTGGCACTGTTCCACATCACTGTACCTCGGCTCTTGGGGTTTGTAGGAGCTGGGAGTCATTCCCAACTCGTAACTCTTCCTATCTTGTGTTCTAAGACTATAGTGGCTGCCATAGTACCGTTCGTTCAAACCGACGCTGTGCCGTCAATTCTTTATCAAATCGTGCAATCTAAATTGCTAATTGTAGACGACGTGAAGACGCTCCAGATCCAATTTGAATCAAGTCATTTGCAGCTGTGAGCAGAACGCTATCAACGTTTGAAGCCGCTGTGCAGAAATCCGTCTGTGCTCTCTATCTTTCGTTTTAGGCACATTCAAGCCTATTGTGACTATAACAATCACTGCCCCTTGAGTGCTGGAGGTGAGAGGAGGAAGGAAGGCAAGGAAGAGGAAGCGAGGCCTGAGCAAGAAGAGACAAGCGAGTGGATGAGATGGCAGACGAAGGCTGGAGAAGGGACTGAGAAAGAATGCCATGCATGGTGCATCTGAACTCCCGGTTACCTCTTGACTGGAAGAAACTTAGATGGAGAATCAAGGCGCCGTTTCTCCTTGCTGGATGGTTGCCTCTCGTCCATTCCCCGTCCGCTCCCTCCCCCTCTGTCTTGCAGGCCGTGAGGAACACACACGCACGAGGAAAGAGACAGCCGCACAGAAGCGATGCAACACGGGAGGGTTAGAAGCAGCAGGAGAGGAGGCGAGTGGCGGATTCAAAAGCAAGAGACACGACTCTTGCCTCTGCGCGGCGACGCCCTACAACTCACTTCACGCCCCCCCACCAAGCACCCCCTGGCACATACCATGCTCCGTGTGCCACCCTGCCGCTCTGCCTGCAGCACGCCTTCTCTGCTAGCGTGCTACTCCAGGCTGCTCTCTTGCTGCTGCGCCAAGCCTTTGCTCCAAGCAGCGCCCTGCCACTGCCCGTGCTCCTGGTTGCTCCGTTGCCGCTGCTGCTACTGCTGCAGTCGTTGCTGTCGCAACCACCGGTCGCTGCAGAGAGAAGGAGATGACAGGAGAGGGGTTAGGGAAGTGAGGAGAGGCACGAACATTTGAGGAGAGGGGTTAGGGAGGTGAGGAGAGGCACAAACATTTGAGGAGAGGGGTTAGGGAGGTGAGGAGAGTGGCACGAACATCTGACGGCACCGCGCTGCACAGACTCATTGCACGTGGACAAATGGTAGACAGAAGAGAACGGAACATGGAAAGCAGGAAGATGGTGAAAAGTGAAGTGGTGAAGTGCTTGACCTGATCCACCCACAACCTCTTGTGTGCCCTGATCCTCCCTCCCCCCTTTCTGTGCCATCATCCTGCAGTCGCTGCAGCCACTGGTGATCCCCGCTGCCACTCGCTGCCACCCCCCTCCGCCTCGCAGGACATGAGGCACACACACACATGGACAGAGAGACACACACAGAAGCGGCACGACAAGGGAGGATTAGGAGCAGCAGGAGAGGAGGCGAGTGACAGAAACTAGAACAAGAGACACGACTCTTGCCTCTGCGCGGCGACGCTCTACGATACACGGCCCCCCTGCAAGCACCCCCTGGCACGTACCATGCCTGCACCATGCCTTCACTTGAGGCGTGCTGCTCCAGGTTGCTCCCCTTTCTCCCCTTTCTCCCCTTCCTCCTCGCAGGACAGTGGTCTCTCGTGCAAGCCAGCAACGGCAGCCGTGTCGATTCCCCGTCCACTTGCTGCCACTCCCGTCCGCCTTGCAGGCCATGAGGCACACACACGCACGTACGGGAGAGGGACACGCACACACATAGAGGCGGTGCAACAAGTGATGGTCAGTAGCAGCAGGAGGCGAGAGGCGGAAGAAAGGGCAACAGGCACGACTCTTGCCTCTGCGCGGCGACGCTCTATGACTCACTATACTGGCCCCCTGCAAGCACCCCTTGGCACGTACCATGATCCGTCCAGTGCTCTCCCATTACTGCGCCACAATTTCACTTCAAACGTGCTGCTCCAGTCCAGGTCGTCTCCCGTGCGAGCCACAACGGAAGCCCGTCCATTCGCCTTAGACTCGCAGGCCGTGAGGGGCACACACGCATGGGAGAGAGACAGACACAAACACAGAAACGGTGCAGAAAGAAAGGGTTAGAAGCAGCAACAGGAGAGTGGTGGAGGCAAGGCAACAGACACGACTCTTGCCTCTGCGCGGTGACACCCTACGACTCTCTTTGATGCCCCCCTGCAAGCACCCCCTGGCACGTACCACGCTCCGCCCGCCACTCTGCTGCTCCTGCGCCACGCCCTCAATTCACTTGAGCTGTGCTGCTCCAGGTTGCTCGGTTGCTGCTGCTGCTACTGCAGTCGTTGCTCGGCGCCGTTCGTCACGGCCGCCGCCGTGTCTCTGCCTTCGATGTGCCAATGTCCTCTCCACTCCATGCAATTCCGGATCCATTCCGCGTCCATTCCGCGTCCATTCCGCGTCCATTCCGCGTCCATTCCGTGCCATTCACCTCCCTCTCACAGGCCGTAAGGTACTCACACGCAGGGGAAGAGCGACACGCACACAGAACGGCGCAACAAGGGAGAGTTAGAAGCAGGAGGAAGGAGACGAATGGTGAAGACAAGGAAAACAGACGACTCTTGCCTCTGCGCGGCGACTCCCTATGAGACTTCACTGCCCCCCGCAAGCACCCCCTGGCACGTACCATGCTCCGTCCACCACTCTCCCACTCATGTACCCCGCCTTCACTTCAGGCGAGCCAGCAACTCCCGTCCATTCCGCGCCCACTCCGCGCCATTCCGCGTCCACTCCGCGCCATTCCGCGTCCACTCCGCGCCATTCCGCGTCCACTCCGCGCCATTCCGCGTCCACTCCGCGCCATTCCGCGTCCACTCCGCGCCATTCCGCGTCCACTCCGCGCCATTCCGCGTCCACTCCGCGCCATTCCGCGTCCACTCCGCGCCATTTCGCGTCCACTCCGCGCCACTCCGCGTCCACTCCGCGTCCACTCCGCGTCCATTCCGCGCCATTCCGCGTCCACTCCGCGCCATTCCGCGTCCACTCCGCGCCATTCCGCGTCCACTCCGCGCCACTCCGCGCCACTTCGCGCCATTCCGCGTCCACTCCGCGCCACTCTGCGTCCACTCCGCGCCATTCCGCGTCCACTCCGCGCCATTCCGCGTCCACTCCGCGCCATTCCGCGTCCACTCCGCGCCATTCCGCGTCCACTCCGCGCCATTCCGCGTCCACTCCGTGCCATTCCGCAGGCCGTGAGGCACACAAAGGCATGGGGAGAGAAAGCACGCACACAAAAGTAAGGGTTATTGTCAGCAGCAGAGGAGGCGTGTGGTGGAGGCAAGGGCACGAGACACGACTCTTGCCTCTGCGCGGCGACGCTCTAGGACTCACTACACTTCCCCCCAGCAAGCTTCCCTGGCACGTACCATGTGCCTGTCGCTCCCATAAACCGCTCTTTTGCTCCTGCGCCACGCTTTCATATGAGTCGTCACGCCTGGCTGCTCGGTCGTTGCTCCCGTCTCGTCGTGACAAGCTCTGCATGTCGCCCAGTTGCCCGTGTTCAACTAATCGCTGCACCTGCTGCTGCTGAAGACGTTGCTCCCGTCTCGTCGTGACCAGCATTGTCGTTGCCTGTGACGCTCGTTGCTCCAGTTTGCTCGGTTGCTGCTGCGCCACGTGTTCCAAGCAGCATGCTGCTGCTTCCCGTGTTCCAGGTTGATCCGTCGCTGCTCATGCTGCTGCTGCAGCAGTCGTTGCTCTCGTCTCGTCGCGGTCAGAGCAACGCCGGTCTCATACGACAGTACCATTGTGTTTACAGCGAAAGCAGCAGGTACGTGCTTTGTTCGCGGAAATGGCATCAACGTTGGCTTGACGACGAAAAGAGCAGCACCGTCGCTTTGACGGAAAAAAACTACAGCTATGTATGAGACGTCAGCTATGTTTAAAGCGTCAGCTATGTTTAGAGCGTCAGCTATGCTTGAAACGTCAGCTATGTTCTAAACGTAAGCTATGTTTAAAACGTCAGCTATGTTTGAAACGTCAGCTAGTTTAAAACGTCAGCTATGTTAAAAACGTCAGCTTCAAAACAACTACGCCCTAAACGTCGCTTTGGACGCCGGAAACCGTAGTTGAAGTTGTTATGACGGCAGCAACAGCAGCGACGTCACTTTGTCGGCAGAAGCAGCAGCTAAACTTCGATAGCTATAGCAGTGACGACGCCTTTTTTCTGGTAAATTTCGATACCTATATAACGGGTACGTCGTTTTAATTAACTGCAGCGACGCTGAATAACGTCTGAACTAGCAGCTTAGCGTCGTACTAGCCTTGACTCGGTATCAGCTTAGCTACTTCACAACGTCCTAACCATATTCGGCTTAGAAAGACATAGATTCATTGATTGGCAGACCGAGTCGCGTCAACTAAACCGAAATCGTTAGGTTAGTGCAGGTATGCAAGTGAAGTTAGGGCTAGTGCGACCAGCATCTCACGTAGCTGGACCTGGAGTTAAGAGCGAAGCCTGAAAGATCTGCTGATGAAGCCATGGAGGCGAAAAACGGAGGTGAGGAGATGCCTTGAGACTCCCTTGCTTCAAGTGGTGGCAGCAGTGCGGCTGAATTCTGGTGAGTAGAATTGCCGTGATTGATGCTGCAAGAGAATCGAAAGCGGAAGGAGGAGAGGTGCGTTGGCTTGGGAAGTGCGTTGGTTTGGGAGGTGCCTGAGTTGAGAGGGGTGGAATGAGATGTTCGGACGGGTTGAGGAGGTGAAAGAAATTGCTGGCTCAAGGACACCTGGTGTCAGACACGACACCTCTGACAACTTTTGAAGAGAGTTGGCGGCAAAGTCGAGGCGCAAGGTTTTCATAACATTCTAAAGATCAATTATTAAAACTAGGAACACCTTGGAGATTTAAGCAAATCTACGCATAAATGCATTATTGCATATCCACACTGCAAAACTTAAAATGCCACTGGATTGATGTAGCCTGGGACACATTTGATTGAATAAATCACAACAACATTTTTCCATTACGATCAATTCCCGAACATATGAAAAGGAATGAAAGAAAAATGGCTGCACATCATTTCAGTCCTATGAATTGATTGTGGGATTTCCCACTAGGCACATGTACCCAATCTAGTCTGCAGAGTGCCAACACCAGTGATGGGAAAGTGGTACGAGGCAGGTGAGAGGTGGAATGAGAAGCATCCAAGGATGGGCGCCCGCCACGACCTTTGCGTCGGTGGAGGAAGGTATGTTGCCCAGCCCATGCACATGGGTGGCCCTGAGGCAAAGGGAAGGGGTCACAAACATGTGAGCATGAGTCGTTGAATAGATGGCAGGGAGCCTGCACACTCTCCCCCGTGCCTTGGGAGGGAAGCTGCACATGCATGGCCCCCAGGGAAAGGGAAGGAACGCCCGTGGACTAGAATGGAACAAATGAGGACGGGACACAGAGAAGGGACGGCACACAGAGAAGGGACGGCACAGAGAAAAGAAGAGAAAAGCAAAGAAGGCGTTCCCGCCCATTTCACCCAATCACAGTTGCATACCAATCAATGTAGCATACCAATTAATGTACCATACCAAACAACGTTGCATACCAATCAATGTAGCAAACCGAAGAATTACTCAAACCACACTCATCATCACTCTGTATCAGACCACACCTTATCACAGCACACCTTATTATAGCACACTGTATCATAGCGCACCTTGTCATAGCACATCTTATCATAGCACACTGTATCATGCACACCTCATTATAGCACACTGTGTCATACCACACCTTATCATAGCACACCATATTATAGCACACTGTATCATAGCACACGTTATCATAGCACAACTTATCATAGCACACTGTATCATGCACACCTTATCATAGCACACTGTATCATACCACACCTTATCATAGCACACCTTGTCATAGCACACTGTATCATACCACACCTTATCATAGCACACCTTATCATAGCACACTGTATCAAACCACACCTTATCATAGCACACTGTATCATACCTCATCCCACCGTACCCTGCCCAACCCACTCTACCTCACCCCACCGTACCCTGCCCAACCCACTCTACCTCATCCCACCATACCCAACCCAACCCACTCTGCTGATCCCCACCTACCCCACTGCTCCTCATCCCATTCTACCTTCACCCAGCCCAACCCCCGCCAACCATCCACCACCCATCATCCACCACCATCCACCACCCACACACCACTCATCACCCACCACCACCTACACAACCCACGACCACTCACCCAGCCACCTATCCACTTACCCACCCATCACCTACCCACCTACCAACCCACCCACCTAGCGACACATTGACCCACCTACCAATCTACCCACCCACCTATTCACCCACTCACCCACTCACCCACCCCATGACCCACGCAACCCATCAACCACCCAGCTATCCACCCACCTACCGACCATCTGCCCACCCGCCTACCCACCTCTCAACCACCCAGATGCCCACCCGCCCAATTACCCAAGTAACCATCTACCCACCATCCCACTGACCCACCAAAACCAACCACCTTACCAACCTACCCACATTACCCGCCTCATCCCACCCAACCCTATCCCACCCACTCTGTCTCATCCATACCCTACCCACCCACCCAAGGGGATTCAGCCCCCTTCTCTCTCACTCACCCACCCAAGGGGATTCAGCCCCCTTCCCTTATACTTACCCACCCAAGGGGATTCAGCCCCCTTCTCTCTCACTCACCCACCCAGCCCATTCCCAACTTTACCTACCAGCAGTAGGAGCAGTAGAGAGCCCACTTCCTTAAGGAAACAGCAACCCCTGAGAGTGAGCCTTGTGGGATGAAGTGTGGTGGAAAATTGCTTCCAGCCCAAGACTCAAATCCCACCCCTGACGTAGCTAGAGCTGACGCGAACCAGAGCCGCCGGCTGGTCGGCTCTGACGGTGCCCATTAAGCCTTGAACGCCAGATTGGGAACCTGAGCACCGAGTGCCGCGCCGCACAGATTCCACCCACCACACCCCGACTCACAAGTCACAACCCCAGAGGATGCTGCCCCTAAGGCAGTGAACCCCCTGCTTGCTCCCACCCACCCTCCCCACACTTCACCCCCATGCGTACTCACCTGAACCTACCTTGCTGAGGCTGCTGGGAAGTGGAGAGAGTAGGGGGGATCAGGGGAGGGAGAGACTCCTCTGTGGTCCAGGCAGGGTGCTGCTGGGAGGGAAGGAAAAAGGGAGAGAGGGGGAGGTGAGAGAGAGGTTGGACTCCATTATCCCGTCCTTGCTCCAGTGCTCCTACCTTCAGCCTGCAGAAAGAGGGGGGGTGAGAGAGAAGGGGACTAGCTTACCATACGTCACCTGTAACCATACCACACCTGTTACCATACCTTACCTTGTACCATACATCGCGCGCAGCTACATCTAGCTTAGCCTATCCCCCCTTCCCTCACTGCTGCTACTGCTGCTACCGCTTCTTCTGCTGCTAGTGCTGCTGCCAATCTGCTGCTCTGCTTGCTGCCGCTGCCCATCCCCTCCCCTCCCCTCCGCTGCTGCCTGCCCTGCTGCTGCCCCCTGCTGCCCTGCTACAGCTTCAATGCACTGGGTGGGAGGGGAGAGGGGGGAGGCAGGGAAGCAAGGGACAGCAGTGAGAATGGGGAGAAGAGCAGGCGGAAGCATTAAGGCAGGAGGGCGCAAAACGGAAGTGAGCATTGTAAGAAGACCAAGAAGCAGCATAAGTGCACGAGGGAAAAGAGGCTCACCTTGTTCCAGACGACCCAATCCCGAAACTCTCCCATCCCATCCCAGCCAAGTGGAGTGCTGCCCCCCTCTGGTCCCACCACGGCCACCTGCATGGCCACAAGAGGAGGGGTGCGGGGGAGTGTCGGTGATGACCCCCACGCCCCTCCCCTCCACCTGCAAAGCACACACGCAGAGCTGGTCAGTAGGCAGGCAGGAAAGGAGGGGAAATATGGAAACAGAAAGCAGAGCAATAAAAAGTGCAAGGGGAGGGGGCTCTGGCTGCAAGAGGAGAAGCGCCTACCACGTGGTACCACACGTGGGGCTGTAAGTACCTGAGGAGAAGCGCACCTGCTACCTTAGGCTGAACCTACCATCTGTTACCTGGGGAGGTGGTTGAAACCCTAGGCGTGTCCGCTTGCAGCAAGAGCAGGGATGGGCACATGAGCATGCGGAACTAAAAGCAAGCAAACCAGGAAGTGGGCTGGTGAGAACCTTGAGGGTAGAGCACTTAGCTTTGAATCGAGTTGGTGCAGAGAGGGTGACACTCGCTGCTCCCCCGCCCACATCCCCATGCTGCCAAGTTCAGTGACCTTGGAGGGAGGGAGGAGGGAGGGGGAGGCAGGTACGGAAGAAGTGAGTGCAGAGAAGCAAGGTTCAAGGAAGAGAGATGCAAAAGAGAGGCCAGCAGAACATGAGCAGGAGGGATGAAGGTGAAAGCACTTGCTGCAAGAGGGACACGGCCGAGAGTGCCTACCACGTGGTACCACACGTGGGGCTGTAAGTACCTGAGGAGAAGCGCACCTGCTACCTTAGGCTGAACCTACCATCTGTTACCTGGGGAGGTGGTTGAAACCCTAGGCATGTCCGCTTGCAGCAAGAGCAGGGATGGGCGCATGCCATGCGAGCAGAGAGAACAGAGCACAGCGGGAGAGAAAGGAACAAGAAGCAAGAAGTGGGCTGGTGAGACCTTGAGGGTAGAGCACTTGGAAGGAAAAGTCAAAGCTCTGTTGGTGCCCTCCTGCTCCCCCATCTGCTGCCCTCCTGCTCCCCCTTGTGCTGCCCTCCTGCTCCCCCTTGCCGCCCTGCTACAGCCTTCAATGCACTGGGCGCGTTGGTGGAGAGCAGTTGCTGCCTGTGCACTCCATGTCCGCCGCCACTGCCACTCCCGTGTGAGCGACCTGCTGAGATGAGAAGGGGCAGATCGGGACAGAGAGAGGAAGGGAGTAAGGGGGGAAGAAAACGGGGAAGTGAAGAGGGGGCAGAGGAGTGGGGAAAGCAATGAGGAAAGAAGCAAGTACGAGTGGAGTGAAGAGAGAGCGACGAGCGCAGAAAGAATGATGCGTGCATGGACTGCTGCAGTGGCACACCCAAGAGACCTTGTACCAGCTGAACCAAACCAAAACAAATACCTGAGGCTGAACCAAGGAAAATATTCCCGCTACCTTGGGGGAGGGAGGTCTCATGGGTGTGACAGAGGGCAGTGAAAAGACGAGTATGATGCATGCATGGTGCAAACACGACATGGAAAGCGACAGAGTGCGAGGGTTTGGAGAAGAGAGTAAGGGCGGGGTCCTTAGCTGTGGGTGGGTTGGGTGGAGAGCAGCTGCTGCCTGTGCACTCCATGTCCCCCGCCACTGCCACTCCCGTATGAGCGACCTGCTGGGACAAGAGAAGGCAGATCGGGACTGAGGGAGGAAGGAGTAGGAGGAGGAGAGAACGGGGGAGTGAAGGGGGAGCACGGGCATGGTGAGGGATGAGGAAAGAAGCAGATGAGTGGAGTGAAGGGAGAGCGACGAGTGCAGAAAGTGCAAGTTGATGCGTGCATGAATAAACTGCGGCAGTGGCACACCCAAGAGACCTCGTACCAGCTGAATCTAAGTCAAACAAATACCTGAGGCTGTACCAAGAAAAAACATACCTGTTACCTTGCAGGAGGGAGGTCTCATGGGTGTGACAGAGGGCAGTGAAAGAGGGAGCGTATGCATGGTCAAGCACAAAAAGCAACAGAGTGCGAGGGCTGAAGAAGGCACTTAGCTGGCGGTTGAAGAAGGACCGAGAGAGAGCTGATGCTGCTGCCACGCGACCATTTCGCCATGCCACGATTCGCGGATGAAAAATTCGCCATACGCCGAATTGCAGACGACGATTCCGCCGTGCGACGACGCACGGACGACGAAAGCCTCGCCAAAAAACGCAAAACCACAAACTGACGACGCCTAATCACATAGCAAGTGGCCGGCACCGTTTGCTTGGCGAGACAGCGTGAGCAGAACCTGCACAATATCAATAAAAATAAAGCTCAGTCGGTTGAAAACGAGGTGAGAATAGGCTGCGGATATTAGCACAAACGATGAGAAACGGACTGAAACGGCGAAAGGAAAGACGCTAACCAGAAATCGCTGAATTTCGGGTGACGACGTCACAGCAGTTTGGCGAAGATCGCTGAAGCGCGTCGAAGTCGAGTTCAAGTGGTCCGTGAACGTGGAAAATACCTGCAATGCGAAGAAAAACGCAATCTGGTTAGTTAAATCTCGCATGTGAAGAACAAGCTAAAATCTGCAAGAAATGACGAATCAGCGACGAAGTACACACCGAAATTGGGAGGCTGGAACTGCACAACCAGCTGAGTGCAGCTTGGCGATTTGGCTGCTGATTCGCGAAGATCCCACTGTCAAATGAGAGACGATTTCGATGTGAGCGGAGAGTTACGGCTACCGAACACAAAATGCAAGAGCTTCGCTAGCAAAACGGAGGAGAATGCTCTCAGGTAACAAAACGAGCAGAGTGAGCAATGTTGGAGGAAAATCGAGTCGAAAATGGCTGAGAACGGGCCAGAATCAGGCGAGGGGTCACGGATTGAGGTTCACTACCCCTCGGAATGACGGTGGTTTCGCATAACCAAAATCTAACGGTTCCAAATTAGTAATCTCTGAGGAGGCTGGGATAAATCTTAATCTCAGCCGTAGCTCCAACTTCCAACGTGTCACATGATTGTGCGGTTCAGGTGGATTTAGAACCATCCGTTTGCTACACTCCGTCACGTGTCTCGATCGCCGTCAAGCGGCTGCACCGAAAAAGAGAATCCAGATATTGCCCAGAAAGGGTCCGTTTACGGAGGCGGGAATCAAGGCCAAGAAGGAACGATCGTAAAGCCTATGGTTTTCCACCGTTGATTTGTAATTTTATCATGTGGATCCGCCATCCCGCCAGTCGAGATCTGTCGCCGTGTCGCTCAAATTCGAACGGTCGGTGCTGGCCAATGAGAGGCCACCAAACTCAACCCGTGGAAGAGAGCCGTTGTGAATGGCATTGGATCGCTGCCTGCTCTCCCTTGCAGGGGGGAAAGTACTCAGTGGACGTCAGGTGGTTTGGCTGGATTCTGGGAGAAGACCCTAGTGGCGAAAAGTGAGACTGGCGAAAGCTGATACCACCTCCCCTGTGGCGAACGATTCAGTAATCTCTGCGTTGTTGTGAGGGATTCTGACTCGAGCCAATGAATGCGCGAGGGAATCTTGTGACATGGCAACAGGCACCCTCGAATTACCATTCATTTTCCCCAAACTGCTGACCAGACCTGTGGGTTAGCAGTATGCTAAACCATTATTCACCGTCCGATTTCAAGCTGATCTGTTGCTGGAACAACGAGCCTTGGTTGGTTGAAGTGGTCAAAACCCTCGAGGCTTCGCCCGTGCCTGAACATCAAATTATTCTGGAGGAAAAATCGGTTCAAGGTGGTGAAGCAAGATAGTATTCTTATGCGAATCTTATTCCGTCTACATATAAACGAGGTAAGGTGTTATGGACTAGCAGTGTTTGGTTAGGTGGGGCGGTATAGCAGTAAACCATTGATTTAAATTGGCAAAACAAACCCATTCTCTATGGACCAAACATGCACGCGGTGAATTGATTTCTCACACCACCAAAACATTGGTACTATCTCTCAAATCATTTGACAATGAAATGGAGCTTTCCTTTTAGAGGCTCAAGTCAAGGCGTCCATCATGCAGCAGCAGCAGAGACATGCAAGGCTGCAAAGGCATAAACATCAAGAAACGCACGAGAGTGAGTACTGTATTATGCAATTCTGCAACCCAAATGCAAAGAACCATAGCTCTGAGACTCACAGGCCAGCACAGAAGTCATCGCAAGCGTTCCCTCTTCGTTCAGTGACCACCACGGCACCAGGAAGGGGGGGAGGGTAGCCCTGAGCTGTATAGCCTTGCGGGGGGTAGCCTTGAGGGGGATAGGCTTGAGGTGGATAAGAAGATTACCCTCCTGACTGTGGTCCATAGCTTGGGGGAGGAGGTGGTGGCTGGCCATAGTAACCTGACACGTACATAAGCTGATTGTCAGCTCAGGGGCGCAGGATGCAAAAAAAAAAAAAAAGCGAAGCCTGATTCGTCATTTCGGCGTATCATTGTAAACTGGAAGACCAAACACGCTACTACTACGAACCTTGGCTCGGTGGTGTACCAACGGGTCCTTGGTACGTGCTCATGGCGACAGCAAATCAGCGCGGCCTGCTACGATTACTTACGCCTGCCTGCCTAATCCGTTTCTGCAAAACAACCACTCGCAAATCACGAAGCCTGCTTTTTCGAAAACGGCAGAGCGACGAGCAGCCGTGTTCTCCTGTGAACTATTAGCGCAACAGTACACGGCTGCTACGGATCTATTTGCAGAAGGGTTCAGCGCGAATTTGCCGCGCAATTTTGCATAGCATCGAGCCGCCATGAAGATGGTTACCGCTGTCGCCTGCTGATTTTGGTGCTTGCTCGAGTGTGAGAGCGTGCTTGCGTGGTGCCATGCCATGATGAGCCATGTTAGCAGAGTGGAAGCGGACAGCCAAGCAAACAGGATTCCTCGTGAACATCGGACTGGCATTTGTTTCGACAACCAGGGCATGCGTGACTAAGGATTTGGGGGACCTTCACGAATTTTACGCGGTAAAAAAGTGATTGCACGCATACACCTTCAAATAATTTCGACATACACTGCAACTGCTAGCTGCAGCACTGAAGCTCTTCCATCCAGTTCACCACAGCAGCTGTTGCCTTCACCACTCCATTTCATGAAACACTTATGGTCAACTGGAATAGCTCTCATTCACTCCCTCTGCTCCAGCTTCTCTTCTCGGCACCAGCAACGCAAATGGCCGGCTAAGCCTTGGTTCTGTCACGGAATGCCGAAATGCTGCATGTCACGGAATACTAACGGGTAGCGAGGCGTCAACTTGCCAGCATCAGACAACAGCACGCAAGTTTTCGTCTCCGCCGTCTGCCTCCGGCTTTCCTCCGCCTTCTTTCCCCCCCGGCATGGTGTCGGATGCGGCTAAGCGCAAGGCCGCGGCCAAAAAAGCCGCGCAGCTCAACCGCACCGCGCAGAAGGTCTCCGCGCCTCCCGCGGACGCTTCCGCCAAACCCGCACACCCTCCCGCCGCTTCCGCCAGTGCACCCGCGGAAATAGCAGCTTCCGCGAGCGACGGGGAAAGCGCAGGTCGTGGGGAAAATGGCACTGCGTCATCGGCGGAGGCAGAAGCGACGGCTGGAGTAAGCACGTCCTAGTGCTGTATTGTTCGGAGGAAGATGACAGGCGGGGGGTTGGGGGGTTCAGGGCTTCCGACAGAACTGTGACACTGGAGTGATTGCTACGGATGGATGCATGCATCATAGACATGTACGGATAGGGTTCAGGTCGTGCCTCTCCTTCCCTTCATCTCCGTGATTCGCTTCCTTCATTTATGCATTGGTATCTTGCCTTTTTTGGCTTCATTCTCGCCCTGCATTCCCTCCCCTTCTTCCCCCTTTCCCCTGTTGCCACGTATCCCCAGCTGCCGGTGACACGCGTGGTCTTTCCGCCCTCCCTCACGCCCAAGCAACGCGCCGCACTGCATGGTGAGGGATGCACGGTGAGAGATGTTGATGACCGGTGATGGGTGGTGCTGGGAAGGGTGGTGCTGGCAATGTGATCCGAGGCGCTGCATGCGAGATCGCTCTACTCACCTTCTTGCTTGCGCTCATTACTGCTCTAATAACTACTTGAGAGAGTTTCTGCTGACTTGTTGACTCTCTCTCCCAAAAAAAAACAATTTATATATATAGAGCTCCCTCTCTCTCATTCACATCCGGTCCTATCCAATCAGACCTTGCGGAGACTCATGGGTGGCAACACGAGAGCCGGGACATGCCGGGCGGCTCGCAACGGCAGTTAGTGCTGTGGCGGGAAGGTGGAGAGTCTGAGGGGGAAGGCAGGACGCTGCATGTAGGAGCGGATGATGGGTGGCAACAGGAGCAGCAGCAGCCAATGGGAGCGCGCCAGCTGGGAGACGCTCTGAAGCAGCATTTGGGATGGGATGTGCCTGCTGACGCTCTTGGGGGGGACGACAGGGGCGGAAGCGGCACTGAGGGCAAGGGGGTGGGGGGAAGAGGAGGCGGAAAAAGGGGATCAGGAGCAGGAGGGGGAAGGGGGGGTGCAGGCATGGGGTATGGGGCGGCGGGGGTGGGGAGGGTGCATGGGGGCGTGGCGGCAGACGTGAGTGACTGCAGCGACGTGTACGAGTTCGTCAAGCGGATGCGGCCTCTGCTGGACCTCGAAAAGGTGAGCCACTGCCCTCCCCTACGCTAGGTCTACCCAGGTTGGCTGGGGTTGTGTCTCAGCCGCCTGCTGCTCTGAGACCCCATTCCTTCACAGTTCACACCATTCCTCCCCATTCCAACCCTTCTCCCCTCTGCCTTTACCCCCCACACCCACAGGATGCAGAGGTGGCACTAGCAGAAGAGGCAGCATCACTAGCGTCAGCGCAGGCCAAGGGGCGAGTGCTGTGCCACCTGCACTGCTCTCACTCCCTCCTACACCCTTCCTCCTCTCCTCCCCTTCTCCCCTCCCCCTGTGCACACCCACAGGACGCGGAAGTGGCACTAGCAGAAGAGGCAGCATCAACCCGCTCACTGGCGTCAGCGCAGGCCAAGGGGCGAGTGCTGTGCCACCTGCACTGCTCTCACTCCCTCCTACACCCTTCCTCCTCTCCTCCCCTTCTCCCCTCCCCCTGTGCACACCCACAGGACGCGGAGGTGGCTTTAGCAGAAGAGGCAGCATCAACCCGCTCACTGGCGTCAGCGCAGGCCAAGGGGCGAGTGCTGTGCCACCTGCGCTGCACGGAGGCCACATCAGGCCTCATGGGCAAGACCCTCCTCACCCTCGTCTCCAACAAGACTGGAAAAGGTGCAAGCAAAGGCGCCACAGCAGACGCCGGACCTGCAGGTTCGGGTTCGCGAGCGTCTGGTCCGGTGCTGCCGCCGCACAAGTTCACTCCGCACGACGTGGTGGCGATACGGGCGAACAAGGCGGAGGGCGCGCAGGCGGCGATAGCGCAGGGGGTGGTGTACCGCGTGAGGGAGGATGCGGTGGTGGTGGCCGTGGATGATGTGCCCGATGGGGACGGGCTGGACGCTCCTGTGCGGATAGAGAAGCTGGCCAATGATGTCACGTACAAACGCATGCGGGACACGTTAGGGGCGCTGAGTCGAACGGGGGATGTGGGCATAAGCACGGTTGGGAGGCCCGGAGCAGCACTTATCCCGGTAAGCACATGCAAATGCTGTCAGTCTGGGGGATGTGGGTCCTCAGCAGGGTGCGGGATGTGGGCGCAGGTGGTGGGGTGGTGTACCGCGTGAGGGAGGATGCGGTGGTGGTGGCGGTGGCGATGGGGACGGCCTGGACGCTCCTGTGCGGGTAGAGAAGCTGGCCAACGATGTCACGTACAAGCGCATGCGGGACACGTGAGGGGCGCTCAGCAGGACGGGGGATGTGGGAGTAAGCACGGTTGGGAGGCCGGGGGCTGCGCTTATCCCGGTAAGCACGTGCGAATGATGTGACGTACAAGTGCATGCGGGATACTCTGGGGGTGCACGTTGGGCAGGCCTGGGGCCACGGCTTATCCTCCCCCTCATCTCCCATCCCATCTCCCTCCTTCCCCCTCTCCCGACATCAGGTTCTCTTTGGCCAGTCAGAGCCTCGCCTCGCAAAGGCCCCGCTGCCCTTCACACCTTTCAATCGCGCTCTGGACGAGTCACAGAAGGCCGCCGTGGCCAAGAGCCTGTCTGCGCACCACGTGGCACTCATCCACGGGCCTCCGGGCACTGGCAAAACGACCACTGTGGTGGAGGTGAGAATTCTGGTGGTGGTTATGAGAGAAAGGGTTGTGGTGGTGCAGGAGGTGACAAGGGGCAAGCCGCAAAGGGTGCTGGTGTGTGAATCTTGTCTGTTCAGGTCCTTTCACTCATCTTCCCTTCCATCCCCCCTGCTCTGCCCATCACCATGAATGAATCGTGATCACTCTTCCCCCCACCCCTCTTCCCCCCACCCCTCTTCCCCCCACCCCTCTTCCCCCCACCCCTCTTCCCTCCGCCCTGCAGGTGGTGGTGCAGGAGGTGAAACGGGGCAGCAAGGTGCTGGTGTGTGCGGCGTCCAACATCGCTGTAGACAACCTTGTTGAGAGACTCGTGCCACACAAGCAGGTACCGCCTACTGCTTTCCTCACTCTTGCTCTTCTCATTCGGCGTGTGTCACAAGCCGCTGTGCAAACAGCACTCACTTAATAACAGCAGTACCTGCATGATAGTCGTGTTGGCCCAACCCAACCCCTCTATTTCCACACTGCACCCATTTGCAAGTCCTCTGGACTGCTCTCTTCACACTCCCTGGCTTCTTACAATACATATTGTTCCTGTACGTTCCCTGTCCCACTCATGCTGCTCCCCTCCCCCTGTCCCCCCTGCCCTGCCCTCCAACCCCCCACCTCTCTACTGCCACATGTGCAGGTGCGGGCAGTGAGAGTGGGGCATCCCGCACGACTGCTGCCATCCATCCTCAACTCCTCCCTCGATGCGCTGGTATGGCATCACGTGCATGCATGGCACATGTATGCCAACACAAGCATGCATACATCCTGACATGTGCATGTGCCATCTTCTCACTCTCCTGATTTCTCTTGCAACTTCTTTCTTTGTTCTTCCCGTCTCCTCTCCCTCTGTCCCTTCTCTCACTCTCCCTTCCCTCTTTCCCCTTCGTTTCCCCTCCCTTTGCTCCAACACCTCTTCGTTTACCCTCTCTTTGCCCTCTCTCTTGCCCCTCCCCCCGCCCGCTCTTCTCTCCGCCCCACCAGGTGCAGCAGTCGGACAACAGTGCGTTGGCCAAGGACGTGCGCAAGGAGATGCACCTCCCCTCTCCTTCGTTTACCCTCCCCTTGATCTCTCTTTTCCTCCTTTCTCTCTCTTTCTGCCCCGCTCCCCTTCTCGGCCCCCCCCACCAGGTGCAGCAGTCGGACAACAGCGCGCTGGCCAAGGACGTGCGCAAGGAGATGCAGCAGCTGTCAGGGAAGCTGCTAAAAACGAGGATAAGGCGGGAGAGGGGCGAGATCCAGAGGGACCTGCGGCGGCTGGGCAAGGAGGAGAGGCAGCGGCAGCAGCGCGCAGTGGAGGACGTGCTAAAGGACTCCAACGTTGTGCTCACCACTCTCACTGGCTGTTTGTCACGGCACCTTGAGGTGAGTTGTTGTAGCATTTGGGAAGGCATAGAGGCAGCAGTGGCACAGGGCAGTGAAGATAGCACCTGCATTTCACCTCTTCTCCTTTGACCCAGTGGTCACTGACGGGGCACCACAAGCCCTGAACGTCTTATGCTGAAACTGACTCTCAATTTCTACCTTCTCTTTTGTTCTTTCCCCTCCCCTCCCCTCCACTCGCCTCACATCCCCGCCCAAATCAATCCGCTCCCGTTCTCTCACATTCCTTTCCCGCCCCCTTGCCATCCCCATCCCCCCAGTCCCTGACGTTCGACCTGGTGGTGACAGACGAGGCGGCACAGGCCTTGGAGGAGGTGTCGGTGCTGCAACTGACACTCTGTCTCCTCCTCTCTCCTTGCCACCTCTTCCCTTCTCTCCCCTCCCGCTGCCGTTCCCCCATTCCCTCCAGCCCCTGACATTCGACCTGGTGGTGATAGACGAGGCAGCACAGGCTCTGGAGGTGTCCTGCTGGGCAGCGGTGCTCAAAGCCCCGCGCTGCATCCTGTCAGGGGACCACCTGCAGCTGCCGCCCACCGTGCAGTGCGACGAGGCTCAGAAGCGCGGCCTCGGTGTCACACTCTTCGAGCGCCTGCACCGCCTCTACGGGGACCACATTACATCCATGCTCACCGTTCAGTACCGCATGCACAAGGACATCATGTGCTGGGCGTCTGACGAGCTGTACCAGTCGCTGCTGTCCGCGCATGCTTCGGTGGCCAGCCACGGGCTTCCGGACCTGCCGGGGGTGGCTCCCGGGCCTGTCACGGAGGCTCGGCTGGTGCTTGTGGATACGACGGGGTGTGATGATGTGGAGGAGCAAAGGGAGGAGGAGGGGGAGAGTTTGCGGAATGAGGGGGAGGCGAGGGTGGTGGTGGCACATGTGAGGCGGTTGCTGGAGGCTGGGGTGGATGCGGGGGACATAGGGATTGTCACGCCGTACAGTGCACAGGTGGGTTACTGAAATGGCCACATGATACATGGATGCAACAGCTGCTTGTAATTTGAGTAATTTCCACCACATGGGTGTCTCGCGATTGCTCTGCGAGCTATCGTTATGGAACAATTGAACGCTCTTTTCAACCCTCTGCATTACTCTTTCCTGATCTCGACACCCCAGGTGGGCTTACTCAAGTCATTCAGAGAGGACTCTCGGCAGCTGGCTCGCGTGGAGATCAGCACTGTTGATGGGTTTCAGGGGAGGGAGAAGGAGGCCATTATCATCTCCATGGTCCGCTCCAATGACACTGGAGAGGTACGCGATTGGTTGATTTCTGTTTTGGTAGTGCAGTACAGTGCATCATACACCACTCCGTTTTTGGCAAATGCTTATACTAACTATTTTTTCCATGCCACTTCCCCCCCCTCGCCTCACTACTATTGCCCTTGTATGAGTAGGTTGGGTTCTTGGCGGATGAGCGGCGAATGAATGTAGCTGTCACAAGAGCTCGCCGACAGTGCTGCATTGTGTGTAACTGCGATACAGTGAACAATAACCCCTTTCTACAAAGGATGGTTACGTACTTCGAAGAGCATGGAGAGTTGCTTAGTGCAATGGAGTACATGTAGAGGCCTCACCTGTATCAAGCCAGTAGATGTATTTCGGGTGCTAGTTTTCAGTCTTCTTCTGTCATGAATATGAGGAGTTAAGGTAGTTTTTTTTTTATGATGAAGGCGTTTCGCTCTTTAGCATCGGTATTGTGGTGTTCTATAGCGCTTTCAAATTCCCAAGGTTTCAGCTGAATTGAGCACTGCTATGGGGGACTATCGTGGAATGAGGTCACCAAGGTCTCATCTGACGCCGATTTAGGATACGTAAGAACGCTGCTGAGGTGGTGGATTCGTCACAACCGCTCACAGCGAAAACCATGGAGTCGCGACCTGCCAAGAAACCCCGGGCTAGTTTTTCCGGTCTTGGGAACGTCATGTCCAGCTCGCTGCTGGTTAGACGCGATGACTTTGCCGATCGCCTTTTTGCTTGTCTGACCCCACAGCTGCAGCAAGCTACTAGCTTCTTATTGCCATTCGGTGTTTCGGCTGCAGCATAGCATCGGTGGATTTGATACAATGGCACTTCCGTCCACTGCCAATTACTCGCATGTCGTTGACTCGGACGACGAGCATGAGACAGGTTCTAGCCCGGCCAGGAAGAAGCCATGTCGAGAGTTCGATCTAGATAACCCTTCCGTCACAAAATGCCATTGGCCATCCGTAGTTCGGCGAAGCCTTTGCGCAGTCTCGTTTATACTGCTCGCGTTGTCGGGATATCTACTGTCCAGGAGCACTGCTGCTAGAGAAAGTAACCAAGAGCTGAGGAAGGCTGCGCCACTGACCCAAGCAAACACAGCGTTTCCGAATCAGACAGACAGCAGGTAATTTTTCATTTTGATACGCCTTAGCTTCATCTTTATTGGATCCTTATTCTTCATACTCTCAGATATTCAACAATTGTATCAACAAATTCAAGCAACCCCGGATCCATTGAGGTCTTGCCTGCGGGGTTGTGTTGGAGCTCCTCCATCCTTGGCGGCTCGAGGATCTCATTGAACGAAACTGGAAACTTCGATGAAGAAAGCTTGTTTCATGGAAAGAATGCAATTCGTCCTGGTGGCGTTATAATCTGAGATGGCTGCAAACAATGCCATGTTGGCCAAACTTGCTCTCTCTACATCGCGGTGCAATCACCAGCACGCTGGATCCCTGCTTCTGCATCTTCCTCCCTTCAGTGGGACATGATGGTCACGCTCAAAGGGCCTTCTTTGATTCATGTGCATCTGACAACAGTGATGGCTGATTCTCCAGGACAGTCGGTATTTCTTGCATCCTATACTCCGTGGGATGCTGGTAATTACAGGTATGTCAACGTTTTCACAACACTGGAGGGTCATTCTCTATAGGCTTCGCACATGGCACTCTGACATGGTGATTCGTTTTATTTCATGCAGCATGGAATTCCGTGTCGATGGCTCCAATCTGAACTACACCAAAGATTGGAACCGTTTAGGGCAACACGTTTTTGCACAAATACCTGTTTCGGTGCTTGAAGGAAGCCAGACACCAGAATGGCTGGAGCAACCCCAACTCAATGAAGTCATTATGGATCTCTCAGCGGTCACGAGTCCATGTGCACATGGGATTGCTGGTCGGTGGCTTGCAGACAATGATGGCACGAGTCAAAATGGCTTGACCAATCTAAACACAGCAACTGCTACCACAGATAAGTACAGGTCAGTGAAAACACGGATATACAAAGCCTCGTATACTCCATCAGAACGTCAAACCTTTGGGGCAACGTCTTAGCCTGAACTTTCGTTCTTGGATTCAGGTGGGCATTCTTCAGCTGCGCTCGTGCTGCTCCGTTGAATGACATGCTTTGGTCATTGTGGAAGGATGGAGGAGTACGGGAGGTGAATGTGATTGGAGACTCGCACATGAGAGGGTTAATTATGCACCTCTGGTTTATGCACACTGGCACGAGGCATAATATGACCCTGGTGAGGCATGGTGACGTCCCTTACGCCCTCAACGTCACTGCTCCAGCAGCAGCAGGGGAACTTTCAGCTGGTGGAGAATTGGTGAAGGAAGGCATTATTCGTGTAAAATACAACTGGCTGGATGGCATATATGACAACAATGTGGCAGGATGCTCGTAAGTATGCCAGTGAAAATCAATGATTTATATCAGGTTTGCACACACGTAAGTAGCTCCTTGTCAACTTGTCCTTCCTTTCTCACTCTCTCCCTACCTTTATGCAGTCGCAGGGGTAAATATTCCAACCATACAAGCAGTTATCCTGCACCATCACCAACTGCAGATGTCACAGTCGTAGGCACAGGACACTGGACCTTTGAGTTCTGCTCCGATGGTGCTGTGGCCTATCCCCACTACCTCCCTCATTTCCTCTCCTCGCTCCACCTCCTTCGACCCAAAAAGCCTGCTGTTTTTTTTGGCCTGCCTTCATTCTGGGTGGCAAATAAAAAATGGATTAGGCGAACCAATGCCATGCTGGCGTATGGCAATGGGATTGCCCAGCCCCTGGTTCGCCACATGGGTCTGTCGTTCTTTGACACGTGGCAGGTCACTGCACCTCAGTACAGGACCACATGCTCACTAGCTGATCCACATTACTCATGCCCAGACGGGAATGGAGGCATGAGGGGGGAGGTAGGGGAGGCTGTGGTGAAGGCTTTTGTGCATTTTCTGTCAGTCCAGCTTAGCAAAGGAACACCATGAGCGTCTACTGCTCTATTATAGTACGACATCGTTTTGATTTGCCTGAATGACTTGCTTTCAGTTCTACAGTTGTGCAGAAGGTTCCAACCTAGCAGAAACTTGAGGTGATTTGCTGAACTGCAAGACTGCCTTTATTGCTGAGAACGAGAGTGAGCCTTTGCCGGAAAAGAGCATCGTTCGTCTACATGGCAGTTTTTGAACCTTCACCTCATGTAATGTTAACAATCTAGTGGAGGCTAGATGAACACATCTAAAGCATTTACGGTATTGTACAGAAAAGCGTCATGCATAACTATTTCGCAGTTATCAGAACTTGACGCTTTACAGAGTACAGTTTCCCTGCTGTCAGCATCCCCCCTCCAGCCCACATGCTCGAGCAGGCAAGCAACATACCTGCCAAACTCTCCATAAAATGGTTCTGGTTTCTTTTGCCTCTCAAGAGCAATGGCTGCCAACCTCGGCAAACATAGTATACCTCCTCGTTACTTATTGTTCGGCTTCAACGCAGTCCATATTAAGAACACGAGTTGGAGTTAATGACTACCAATATAGTTTAGGCTTGACTTGACTGGTAGCGCTTATCACGTTCCTCCGCTTGTTCGCGTCATCCTTTTACAGCTACAGCGGATCGCAAGTTAGCATATTGCTCGAAATTTCCTAAACGTCTGCCGTTATCTTCAGCGTAGTGACCTTACGCTTTCGCTCTACGAACTTACCGTCCGTTATTATGCTCGCCGCGTCGGATGCCAGTGGCGGAAAACAGTCTAATCTCCACAATACCGCGGACGGGACGTGGACCGAAATATCGCAGCAAAAGCCACCCATTCCGGGTCTGTCGGCGTCTCTCGCGCCGGAAAATGCTGCGAGCCCTTCTCGTAGAGCCGAAACACCTGAAACACCTGAAAAAACACCTACGAAGCCACCTGCGGTCGGCGCGGGGCATGCGCGCACAGGACGAGGCAGCAAGAGCACAGAGCGCGGGAGAAGGCGAGCGCGGGAAGGCGAAGATGGAAGTGGAGAGGCGGAAGCGGAAGTGTGGCGAGCGGAAGGGGCGAGGGATGGAGAGGAGGAGGAGGAAGAGGAGGAAGAAGAGGGGGAAATGGGGAGTCCCGAGGCGGTGATGGGAGTGAGGTGCTTCACGTGGAAGGTGATGGTGTTCAAAGATGGGAAGAAAGGCCAGCACCACCCCTCGCAGCATCACTCACAGAGACATGCGCATCAAAATGCAGATCGTAGACACAGTCACACTCATTCCCGCTCACACTCCCTGTCCCCGTTCCGGCGCCACGGTCACTCCGATGGTCGCACGGAACAAGAGGAAGCAGCAGTGGCTGCGGAAACAGCAGCAGCTGGGGCAGCAGCAGCGGGCGGAAGAGTCAAGAACGGCATGAATGGTGCTGACGGCATGGGTGTTGAAGGGGTAGATCGGAGGAGAGCGAGCGCAGCCGTTGCAGCAGCGACAGGAGCAGCTGTTGCTGCGACCGCAGCAGCAGGAGCAGCAGCAGCAGCAGCAGGCGATGAGGATGGAGGCAGTGAGGACGAGACGTCAGAGAACAGCAACGGCTCGTGGATACGGCTCATCCAGCACACCCACCAGCAGCACCAGCATGGGAGTAAGCCCACGCTCGATTCCCTGAATGGCCACACGGAAGGCACTTCCGCGTTTGTCTCGTCTGATCAGGTGCAGCAGGCACAGCAGCAGCAGCAGGCACAGCAGCAGCAGCAGCAGCAGCAGCAGCAAGAGCAGCAGCGGCAGCAGGAGGAGCAGCGGAGACCCCCTGGTGACATGGCAGGGCGTGCAGAGGGGAAGGATCGGAGACACGTGGACGAACGAGTGTCGCTGCAGGTCTGTGGTGCTGCTGCAGAGACTGCAGAGGCGGCAGAAGCTGATGGCGGATGCAGAGAGGAGGGGCGAGGACAGGAGAGGAGCGAGGAGGGCGGGAGAGGAGGTGAGGGAGGCGAGGGAGACGCGGAGAGCAGGCGGCGGGAGAGGGAGCAGGGGAGGGATTCGGAGGGGGGGCAATGGAGAGGAGAGGGTGGGGCGGGGGTGAGTGGCGTGACGGAGGGCAGTGGCTTGGGGCGAGCGCGCTCGTGCTCGCCTATGGGACGCGGGCATGTGGTGGTGAGAGAAATGGCCGGGACTGGGGAGATTGATGAGCGCAAGAGCCCTGCGCGGGCGAGGGAGGTTGACGAGTGGGTGGCCAGCTGCCTGCAGGCCGCCCTGGACCCTCTCTCTGCTTCTCACCCTGCAGCTGACTCTGCGGGAACGGCCGAGGGGGTAGTATCAGCAGCTGCTGCTGCAGCAGCAGCAAGGGGTGGGAGTAGAGCGGGTGCGCGTGCTGCGTTGCACCTACCTGGTGTACCGGGTACTGGCAGTGACAGGGACCGACATGGCGTTGGGGATGGGGATGGATGTGGCGATGGAGGCAGCAACAACAGTGATGATTTCAACGACCCGGACGAGTTCTTCTCTGTGGCGGGTCCGTGCTCGCCCCCTCCCCCCTTTGCTTCCTCTCCCCCTTGCTCCCCCCCCTTCGTGCTAACTCTCCCCCGTGCTCTCCCCCGTGCTCCCTCTCCCCATTGCTCCCTCTCCCACTTGCTCCACCCCTCTTTCACCCCGTTTATGTGCTCCCTCTCGCGCTTCACGCTCCAGTGTGTTCTCCCCAACTCTTCAGTGTGTTCTCCTCAACTCTTTTGTATCATACCTGCACTGCTGCTTTCCTTCCCCCATGAGTGCCCTTACCCCCACATGCGCCCTTGATCCATCCACCCGTCCCGTCCTCACTACCCATTCTCCTCCCCTGCCCCTTCTGTCGTCCCCTCCAGAGTCCCTCTCTCGCAGCAACTCCATGCGCTCCTTTTCCCAGTCCTCCCCTCGCTCCATTCCCCCCCCTCGCTCTCCTCGCTCCGTTCCTCCTCGCTCGCCCAACCCGCGCACACCCTCTCGGCCTCGCACCCCCACTCGCCCTCGCACTCCCTCCCGCTCACAGCCTCCCACCCAATTCCCCATTCAACGCCCGCTTGCTGAAAAGACCTCTGCTGCAGCTGCTGTTGCTACTGCTGCTGCTGCTGCTAACCCTGCAGTGGCAGCAAGGCAGAGTGACACAGTAAGAAGCACTAACACAGCTGACTCTAGGGCTTCTGACACCATTCTTGCTGCTGCCACCGCTGGTGCTGCTCACAGTGTTGCTGCTACTGACCCAGCTACTGTTGCTAGTAATGCGATTGGCATAACCAGTACTGTTGATACAGCCTCTCATATTGACCCACGTGGCACTGCTGCAGTGGTCAATGCTACCAACACGACCAATATCACTGACTCAGCTAACGCCACTGACACAAGTATTGTCACTGATGATTTGGTGGGTGATGAGGCTGTGGGTAACGCAGCAGCCGTTGCATCAAGTGCCGCTGAGCTTTCAACTGCACCTCTGGCACCAACAGCAGATGTCATGCCACCATCTGACTCCCCGGCAGCACCCAACGCCCCTCAATTAGCTGCCACCGCACATCCGTTTGAACCGCCACCATCGCCCACCCGTGGAGCAGCAACACCAGCAGCGGCACCAAAAGCACCAGCAGCAACAGCACCAGCACCACCAACAACAGCAGCACCAACACCAGCAGCACCTTCAGCCTCCCCTCCAGCACTCGACTCCTGCCAGCAGCAGCCTTTTCACGAGTTACAGACACTGCTGGACCGCCCCCCTCCTGTCCCCCACTCCCCTCTCCCCAGCCCCTCCCCCGCCGCCCACTCCCCTCTCCCCCGCCCCACCACCCCGCGCTCGCTGCCGTACCGCACGCGCAGCACCGACTTTGGCTCGGCCAAGCAGCGAGTCTCCAACCTGCAACTCCTCTCCTCCTCCCTCCTCTCGCCCTCCCCTGCCGACGCCGCTGCTCCGTCCCCTGCTGCCTCCCTCGGGGGTAGCAGTTTCGGTGGTGGTGGTGGTGCGATGAGTGGTTATGGAGCTAGTGGTGGTGGTAGGAGTGGGGGAGAAGGCAGAGGGGGAAGGCCAGGGACGTTGAAGAAATGGAAATCTCTGCAGTCTCACTCTGGCACTATTGCCTCTCTGCTGCAAGGTCATCCCTGCTTCCCCTTCTCTTGCGCTTCTCCCCCTCTGCTTTTCTGCTCTTGCTCTGCTCTATATCTGCTGCCATTCTCTTCCGCCAGTAATGTATGCGTGCCATTTCGACTTTGCTTGCCGGACCTCATGTACCCCCTCTCTTCCTCTCAGTCTTTCCCATTCCAACCCTCCGTTCTTTGTTGTTGTTACTCCCAAACGTCTGCACTCCTCCCTGCTGTACCCTCCCTGCACCCCGTTATTCGAGTCGACTCAAAAGTCATCCCGTCCACACCGCACTCCCCCCTGCCTGCCCCTCCCCTCACTTCACCGACGCCGAAGCTCTCTCCACTCCACACTACCCTGTCGCACTACCCTTAGACTTCTTAGTCCACTTTAAAGTCATCCCGTCCTGGCCACACCACACTCCCCGCTGCCCGCCCCTCCCCACTCTCCACCACCACCAGCCATAGCGGGCAGTGACGCTGAAGCTCCCTCCACAACGGACCGTGGTCGTTCGAGTGGCAGCATGAGGCTCCCTTCTCTCGATGCTCCCGTGTTTTGAGTCGACTCAAAAGCCATCCCGTCCGCACTCCCCCCTGCCCCTCCCCACTCCCCCCCGCCCCTCCCCACTCCCCACCACCACCAGCCATGGCGGGCACAGATGCTGAAGCTCCCTCCACAGTGGACCGTGGTCGGTCTAGTGGCAGCATGAGGCTCCCTTCACTTGACGCTTCTGCAGCTGCTGGTGCAGCTGCTGGCAGTGGGGGCATGGGAATGGACCGGCCGGGTGCAGCAGGGGCAGGGGGTGGAGGGTCTCTCTTGGAGCGCACGTCAGGAGCATCTGGTAGCGGTGGCGCGCTGCTGTCTAGACTCTTCCGCACCTCGTCTGCTCTCAACCCCAGCGAGTGTGAGTCAAGCTCTTTCCATAGCCTGCTCTCAGCCCATGCTGAGAGCAGACCCATGCTGCGGGGAAGGAGAAAGACAGGAGGGGAGGGACAGGAGAAGGATAGCTCGCAGATTGAGAGATTTAGTTGCAGCGATGAGACCAGCACACGACACCTCATCTCTATTGCTTCCTGGTTGCCCGGTTGCCCGGTTGCCCCGTCTGCTGATGTAACCGCTGCCCTCGGCAGCCTCTCAGCTTTTCCGACTCGACTCTTTCTACCCTCCCCTTTCCTCTCTCCGACCCCTCTCCCCCTTTCCCCCTCTCCAACCCGCACTCCAGCCGTGAAGCGTTTGCTGATGTGGCCACGGGCGGGCTCGCAGCTGTTTCGCTGCTCGCCCTCCGCCCGTGCTGCCACCAACTGCTGGTCGCCTGCTGACCCCTCCTTGCTGCTCGTGCGAGGTCCCAGCTATGCCAGGTGAGGAGAGGACGAGTGTGGGCGTGTAGGCGTCCTCCACACGTTCACACGTCCACACGTCCACCCGCTCTCCCATGAAGTGTCACTCCGTTCGCCTTGCCTCTGCACATCTGCCCGTCAGCCCTTCTGCTGTGTTGTGTTCACCTGACGGTGTTCCCTTCCTCATGCATGAAGTGACGGAGCCAAGGTCACCCCTGCCGCGCCCCCTCTCTACGAGCCGTGCGCGGCAGACGTCTTTCACGCGTCCCCTCTCCTCCCTTCCCAAACTCCAACTGTGTTTCCCCCATTTATCCGTGCAGTGATGGAGCCAAGGTCGCCCCTGCTGCCCCCCCTCTCTACGAGCCCTGGGCGGCAGACGTCTTTCACACGTCCAGGAAGATCCGCCACATTGCCGCCCACGTGGACCTCCCAGCCGCTCTCGTGCCGCCACCTGGCAGCGAGCCGGCAGCGCAGAGTAGCAACGGGCTGCCACCCGTGCTAATCGTCAACATCCAGGTCAGCACTCATGCGTGTCGAGAGGGAAAGGGCAGGTGTGGGATGGAGGAAGAGGGGACAGAGGGGGCTGAGTAGGGAAAGGAAGGAAGTTGGGTGGGTGGTCATAAGTGCGTGAGCTTACAACGTTGAGTTGTCAGTGTGATTTGCCATTCCAACTACCTGTGTTTACCCGTGTGGAGCACCTGTGAGCGTGAGCGTATGCTCCCAGAAACTGTGGTTCCTTACTCCTTCTTACTGGCTTCTCGTCCGTCTGTCCGGCCCCTCTGTCCCCTCTTCTGCCAACCCCTCGGCCTCCCCTGCCCACCCTCCAGCTGCCCCTGCAGCCACCCCCGCCGCTGCTCTCGCTGCAGCAGCGGGCGTGGGATGGGCCGGGCCTGAGTGTGGTGCTCTATTGTCGCCTGGGGGCACACTGGCGCAACCAGGCAAGCGCTCCTGCACAGATGGCGGTACGTGGGCCTGTGGTTACAGGGGTGTGCAGCATGGGGGCATGGACACATGTGGGACGGGCCAGGCCTGAGTGTGGTGCTGTACTGCCTGCTGGGGGCGCACTGGCTCTCAGGCAAGCGCTCCTGCACAGATGGGGGTACGTGAGCTTGTGGTTATGGGGGTGTGGGGCTATGGGCATGTGTGTGGACCGCCCGGGGCTGAGTGTGGTGCTGTACTGTCGCCTGGTGGTGCACTGGTGCAGCCAGGCAGAGGCTCCCGTGCACATGGGGTTGAGCAGAGAGAGATAGAGAGAGGCAATGTGGGTATGGGGTATAGAATATGAGGTTAATTTATAGGGGTGGCCCAGCTCCTGCACTCATGCATGCATGCATGCGTGCTCCTACCATCCCAGCCTCCGTACCCACTCCCCTTCTCCTCACCAACTCTCATCTCCTGCTGCCCGTCCGTTACCCCCTGTGCTGCTGCCCGTCCATTCACCCCTGTGCTGCCTGCATATCTGCAGCCAGTGTTGCGTACATGGGGTCCAAGGCACGGCCAAGGGAGGCAAGGAGGAGCGCCAGTGGAGGGAGAAGGCGAGGGGGGAGGGAAGAGGGCGGAGAAAGGTTCCCCTCACGTGCCTCGTGCAGCGACTGAGGAGGCGGTGAAGCGCGCAGAGCAGCCGCACGGGGCAGCAGGCACGGCAGCCGTGGATGGGGTGGCTGCCGTGGATGGGGTGGCTGCATGTGATGCTGCAGCAGGGCGAGAGGCGGAGCGTTCGGTCGCACATGCTGAGGGCACCAGTGGCGGCAGCAGCGGCAGCAAGACACGGCGCAGCAACAGTGGCAGGCGTAGGGGCAGCTGGTCCAGCTACTCATCTGCTGATGATACCACCATGGGAGGGGAGGTGGCTGTGCAGGGGCACGGGGGGAAGGAGCATGGGGGAAAGGAGCATGTTAGGAGGGAGCACGGGGGGAAGTCGGAACGGTGGTCAAGGTCCGGGGGAGATGATGGGGAAAGGGAAGGCGGAGTGGAGAAGGTGGTTTGGGACCGGCCGAAGCTGATGGTGAGGCTGGTGAACGAGGGGGAGGTGGCACTGAGTGCGGCGGGCAAGAAGCTGGTGGAGGGGTGCTCGGGAAAGGCTGGACTCACTCGCCCTTACCACACTGTTCTGCAGGTGAGAAGCGTGCTACCGTACTGTGTGCATCATATCTCATACAACCCTCCTCTCCCCTCCTTTCCCCCTCTCGCCCTGTCGTCCGCCCCGCCTTACCTGGGGCTGGGCCTTCCTGTCCCTCCTATCACATCCATCCTCCTTCCCCTTCCTCCCTGCTACTCTCCCCACTTCTTCCCCATTTCTCCCCCTTTTCCCCCAGTCGTCCACACAGCCATACCTGGAGCTGGACATAGAGGCACATGCTTTCCCCCTTTCTCTATCATATCAACTCCCCCGTCCCCCTCTCGCCCCCCTTCTCCCCCCTTCCCTCAGTCATCCGCCCAGCCCTACATGGAGCTGGACATAGACGCGCATGCCTTCCCCCCCGCCCATCAAAAGGCGCTGCTCTCCCTGCGCCCCCACCTGCCAGATGCCATCCTCGACATTGCACTCGTGCTGCAGGTGAGTCTTCACCATGTGTGCCTTTTGTGTGAGTCGCTGTCAGTGACCAATGTTCAGCACAAGTGTGGATTTCCTCCTTTCAGTAAATCCAGCTAACAAATTATTATGTTATATATTCACAGTTGAGAGGGAATGAATGCGGGCACCCATCCTCACCTTTTTGCTTCATGTTACAGTAGATTGAATTCTTGTGAGTTGTATTGCCCTTCTTGCTTGACCCACCAGGGTAATTCACCCCAGGAATTGCCGGAGCCTGTGCTGACATGTGTGAGGCTGCACCATCTGGAGCTCTCTCACTTCGGATGCCTCAATTGACAACCGAGCTAACACTCCTACTCTGACTTGCCATAATGAAAATGCACTGTATTTATTGTATATTATTTATAAGTTATTAGGGATGGAATTCGTGCAGAAACACGCATCAGGTGCCTCCCCAACCGTCTCGGCCAAGCTATACATCTCGTCGCACGTGCGAAATTCGCTGTCATGCCGACAGCGCACGAAACCCGTTCCCTCGCGAGCGCGTCATGTTGCGCCGTGCGAGCCAGCGACCCCGTCGCGAATGGACAGGCGATATTTTCAAGATTGGAATTACCCTTGAACCAGCGCATTCTCATCCAATATGAGCTGGAAGTTTGCCGAATAGGCAGTTTTGCGGCTACATGTGACGTGTATGTGCAGATCTGACAAGGTGCCAGGAAAGCATTCCGCTCAACCAGGGACTGACCAAACCGAAACACCTTGATTGACGGGGACTGGCACGTTACATGGGTGTGTGATGTGTGGGAGGCAGCAAACCCGAGGGAATTTGGAATAGACTTCCAACGGGAATGCAGCACAACTTCTCTCAGCTTTTCTCTTCAATTACACGCAAACCTTGCTAGAGCATCGTCAGAATAAATACGTCCACGGGAGAAAGACTAGCAAGAAGCCTTTCAACGGGTTGTGTTCGCAACGTACTGTGGACCAGACGACATCATATTCCTCCTCGTCGTATGCACAGCGCGTATACACACACACCACCTTAAGTGGGTGACTAGTACATTCCAGATTTGACGAAATCCTAAGCGCCTCAGAGTTTCGTACGAACCGTTGATTGCTGCTTCATACTTGCACGGCACGCGCGCGGAAATGGCTATAGCTTTCGCGACTTGCTCCGCGGCCGGCGGCTTGCGAGTGGCGCCGCCGCTGACGGCACGGCGAGGCGGCGCCGTCGGTTGGAGGGACAGCGCCGGGTGGTCGCAATCTACTTTAGCAATCCCTGCCACGTCAGCAGCGCCGCGAATCCCGAGTTTCAAGGTCGAGGCACAGGCGCAGCAGGTGGGCGAGCGGGTGGGCGGCGCGAGGGCGCCACGTGGCGAAAACGTGGCGGGCGACTTTTACGTGGACCACACGTGCATCAACTGCGACGTGTGCCGCTGGATGGCGCCCGAAGTGTTCGCCAAGGTCGGGTCGCAGTCCGCCGTGTTCGCACAGCCCGGCGACGAGGCGACCACCGTCAAGGCGCTGCAGGTATGCGAAAGGGTTTTAACGAACAAACTAACGAACGAACAACGAAGGATGAACGACGAGCAATAAACCAAGAACAATAAAGCAACATATTGAGGGATTCTGGTGTCAAAATTGCCCAACGGCCTCGGCTCATTCCCCATGCCATGCCGTCACTTATTCCTCTCTATCCCCGCCTTTCCCCAGCCCAGGCGCTGCTGTCGTGCCCTACAGCTCCATCCATCGTCGCTCGTTCTCCTCCTCCCTCATCCCTTTCGCCCCTCCGCCTTTTCCCCCGCCTTTTCCCCCGCCTTTTCCCCCGCCTTCCCCCTGCCTTGTCCCCTCCTTCCTCCTGCCTTACCCCGCCTTCCCTGCGCCCAGGCGCTGCTGTCGTGCCCGACGGCCTCCATCCACTCGCGCGACTCGCTATCGCTCGTGCCGCGGGCGCGCGACGCGTTCCCGCTGCCCATCGACGCGGCGGCGCTGCCCGGCGTGTTCCACTGCGGCTACCACTCGCGCAAGTCCTTCGGCGCCGCGTCCTACTTCATCCAGCGCGCGGCGGGGAACGTGATGGTGGACTGCCCGCGCTACTCGGAGCACCTGGCGGAGACACTCGCGCGCATGGGCGGCGTGCGCTACATCGTGCTCTCGCACCGCGACGACGTGGCGGACCACGCGCGGTGGGCGGCGCGGTTCAAGGCGGAGCGTGTCCTGCACGCGCTGGAGGTGCAGCCCGACACGACAGACGTCGAAATGCTATTGGACGGCACGGGGCCGTGGTGCCTGGGGTCGGACCTGAAAATTATCTTTACTCCCGGTCACACCGAGGTGAGGGCGGGTAGAGCGCGGTTGAAGTGGATAGGGCGAGGTGGAGATGCGATTGGACGGCAGGGGGCCCCGTGCCTTGGGTCCGACCTCAAGATCATCTTTACTCCTGGTCACACCGAGGTGAGGGCGGGAAGAGCGCGGTTGAAATGGGTAGGGCGAGGTGGAGATGCTATTGGACGGCACGTGGCCCTGGTGCCTGGGGTCGGACCTTAAAATCATCTTCACTCCCGGCCACACGGAGGTGAGCGCAGAAGTGATCGGTAGGGGAAGTGCGGTTGCAGCCGTCGCTGCTGGACGGGCGGCACCAGGCCGGACCTGGAGAACGCATCTCTCCTCTACCCCCCTCCTTTTGCGCATTTTCCTGTGCACAGCGCTCCGTGAGTGTGCGTTAAGGCGGACAGAGGGGCGCTGCTCGCGGACTTTGCGCTGCTCTGCGGAGCAGGAGGCGGACTGTGCGCTGCCTGCTCACAGGAGAAGAGGCGGACTATGCGCTGCCTGCTCACAGGAGAAGAGGCGGACTGTGCGCTGCCTGCTCACAGGAGAAGAGGCGGACTGTGCGCTGCCTGCTCACAGGAGAAGAGGCGGACTGTGCGCTGCCTGCTCACAGGAGAAGAGGCGGACTGTGCGCTGCCTGCTCACAGGAGAAGAGGCGGACTGTGCGCTGCCTGCTCACAGGAGAAGAGGCGGACTGTGCGCTGCCTGCTCACAGGAGAAGAGGCGGACTGTGCGCTGCCTGCTCACAGGAGAAGATGCGGACTGTGCGCTGCCTGCTCACAGGAGAAGAGGCGGACTGTGCGCTGCCTGCTCACAGGAGAAGAGGCGGACTGTGCGCTGAAACCACCACTCCCTTTCCCGTTCCCCCACCCCCCACCCTTGACACTGTGCGCAGGGCTCCGTGAGTGTGCTGTATAAGGCGCACGGAGGGGCGCTCTTCTCAGGGGATCATCTGGCATACGCTCCAAATACGGAAAGCCTTTCCATAATGAGACGAGTCAACTGGTACTCGGGTGAGTCAACCCAAGTCAACTCAAGTCAAAGGGAGTTGAACGCAGCCGTGTGACGTCTCTAGTAGAAAGAAAGGGTTGCAGTGGATGCAATCCGGAGCAGCACTGCCACTCTGCTGCTTCACACTGCTGCCTCCTCTGTTCTGTACGCGCATGCATTGCCCCTTGCCCCTTGCCCCTTGCCCCTTGCCCCTTGCCCCTTGCCCCTTGCCCCTTGTCACTTGCACCCAGTATTAGGTCACTCCGTGATCCCTTACCCCCCTGTCACCCCCCGGCCCCCCTGGCTTCGCTCCCCTGTCATGTGACACGCGCCACCACGTGAGCAGTGCCGGTGCAGATTCAGAGCACCAAGAAGCTGGTGGGGCTGCCCTTCCGCTGGCTGCTGCCAGGTGAGGCGCGGTGCTGCCAGGTGAGGCGCGGTGCTGCCAGGTGAGGCGCGGTGCTGCCAGGTGAGGCGCGGTGCTGCCAGGTGAGGCGCGGTGCTGCCAGGTGTAGCGGTGTGAGGGATTTACATCAGTTTTGCGGTAGTTCCTGCCGCCTTGGGATGGGCGGGAGACTATCAATCTCTAGTGCCGGCGCCCACCTCCCAAGTGCCTGCCCATTCTCTTCCCAGCCCGTGTCACCTCTCGTCCCTCCTCGTCACATTTCCTGCTCGCACTCAGTCCCAATCGTTCATTCCCATCGCCCCCTTCTTTCTCCTCCCTACACGTGTGTACCCAGGCCACGGGCGGCGGTTTCACTTTGCGAGCGAGGAGCAGAGGGACGCGATGCTGCAGCAGGTGGTGGCGGGGGAGGAGGCGCTGCTGCTGCGGGGCCGTTAGGAAGGGGCATGCATGGGAGCATGGGTGACGCCGTGGGGTAGTGCATGGGAGCACTCATGGCGCACACACTTGTTCAGTGAGCAGCAGAGGGACGCGATGCAGCAGCACGTGGTGGCAGGCGAGGAGGCGCTGCTGCGGCGGGGCCACAAGGGAGGTGGGGGGGGGGGGTGGGGGAGGTGCATGAGTGCGCTTGTGTGCTTGTGGCCAGCAAGGAGCAGAGGGTCGCGATGCTGCCGCACGTGGTGGCGGGGGAGCAGACGCGGCTGGGCTAGGGCCAATGCATGCAGTGTGGTGGTGCATGCAGTGTGGAGGTGCATGAGTGCGCGTGTGCGTCAGTGGGCCAGCGAGGGGCAGAGGGATGCGATGCTGCAGCAGGTGGTGGCGGGGGAGAGGTGCATGGGTGCAAGTATTAGGCAGCGTGACATGGCATGATGTGGGCAACTTCAAGGTGCCTCAAAGAGGCATGAGGGTCAAATGGACGTGAGGGTGTGGGGGGAAGGATGGGGATAGATGGGCGAGGAGGAGGAGGGGGTGAGCTGGTCGTGCCAAGGGGATGAGTGGATACTGGAGAAGCAGGTGTTTGACAATAGAATTGCCTCCCCATGCACATGGTGCATGTGCCATTCCATTGCTGCTGGTGGCGTGCATGGGACGGCACGAGCAGGAGTTACTTGGAGAAGGACACTTGGAGCAAGCAGAGGAACCTGGCAGAAAGGATAAACAAAGCGTGGGCTGGAAAAAGCACCCCCCCTCATGCGCTGTGGGGACGGGGACTTGTTTTGCCCGTGGTGGTGGCAGGTCCGGAAAGCGTCTGCTGGGGATGTGCTGACTCAGCGTGGAAAAACCTTCGTGACTAGTGATGTGGTGTGTCCCTGCCTACCTGTCAGGGTTATGGTGTCACAAAGGTGGTGGCTAAGCTACTCTATCTAGGTTTATATGTTACTAGTTAAAAGAGCATCGTAGGGCAATTTTGACACTGGGTTGGGTTGGGTGTGAAGGGGCGGTTTTATAATTTGCTAGTATTTTAGGGCGTGTTACATTTTTCATTTTTTTCGTCCGGACAGCCAGCCGTCCGGACGATTGTGTGGTTACAGGACTCGTTAAATCTCGGCAGTGAGGTCGTCAGGGTCTAAACGACGTCGCATCTTTCGTACTGCCTCCTTACGACGTCGCATTGGTCACAACGCGACCGTGCGACGTCGCAATCTTCGCACGCGTCCGGACAGCCGTCCGGACTTTCAGCGAATTTAAAAAATGTAACACGCCCTTATTTCTTCTTGAAATGTCACCCCCCTCTCCCCCAATACACACACCCCACTTCTCTTCAACAAGCCTTCAAATTGCCGTGCAAAAGCATACCCTGCACAACTATACACTACCGTGCATGACAGCTTTCTTGCTATGGTTCTTGTTCTTGTACCGTACTCTGAGAATTCTGATGGCAATCAATTATTGTACAACCTACAAAGCAAACATTCCTATCCATACTTCGTATGGAAACACCCACTCAGCACCAGCAAAAATGGAACGCAGAGAGCATCAAAGGCTGCTTTTGCCTGGAATCCAAAGCTTGTTTCCGTTGCGCGACTCAGCAGGTGCGAGTTCAGTCCTTCAAATGAAGGCGGTCAGGCGATGGGAGTCCAGACGGACGACGGTCAGACGAAGCCGTCTATTACCCAGCAGCAGCAGAGCACCGATACTCTGCAGGAACAAGGAAGAGACACGCGCGTCAGCCATGAACAAACTGTCTTGTACGACACTCACACTTTGCTAACGGAGCAAAAAGAGTCGATAACAGCTTATTGGCGTATCAGCTTGTCAGCTTACAGCGCGACGCAGCAGTTGTCGTAGAAGCTCGCGTCTTTGTTCGTCACGATCACGCCACTGCACGGCGGCGGCGAGTCGCAATGGTAGTACTGGTAGTAGTGCCCCGCGCCGCTGCCGCTGCCGCTGCCGCTGCTACTGCTGCGGCTGAGGCTGAGGGGGTTAGTGAAGGCTTCCGTGGGCGACGTGCAGTCAGGCGGAGACGAATGGCCGTCGCGACAGAAATGATAACCTGCAGATGAGTGTGCGACGGGTTAGTTGCGTCCAGGGAATTGTATTTCAACCTAGCGGCTGAATTGGAGGATCGAAAACAAGCGCAGTATTTGAAGCATGCGATAGATTGCTGCTACAGAGGCAACACGCGTCACACCTTGATTGGGCGGTGCTGTGACAGGAGGCCCTTGATACGCCATTGAAGATCAATGAACCGTATTCAATTTACCCACCACTGTCTCCACTGCTCGTTCTCTAACGTCACGGCTCGTTTATCAACCTGCGTTACTGGGTTGAAGCCGTGAAACATGGGCTGATCACTCAGGTCCTACACTAGAATCCGTTGCTAAGGAGCCTACTAAAGTCTGACTAATGACTGAATGGCTGACTGCAGGAAAAAGAGCTACAGGGCCCTTTTCAGTGCTGAGCTCGCAATAAAACATAGCGACGGACTTGGCGATGGATTGTGGGTGACATTGCGAATTCGCGAGGTCGATGGATGGCTGGATGGTGGAATGCGACGACGAATTGAGAATTACAGTGGCTGGTAATCCGATATGACGACGAGTCTGCGACTCACATTTCGGGCGAGATTTCTGGAAGCGCCTCGTGACCGAGCAGCAACGGAGTCACCAAAGCGCGCCAGCGCAGCAAGTCCAAAAAGATGCCTTTCGAATTGGCTGGATTCGAGTCGTCGCAAAATCTCTTCGTCCTATCGCGAAGAAGTTACTTGCAGGTGTGTAACACCAGGGTGTCATCGCACGAACAAATCGCTGAAGGCTCGGGTGGCTTGCAAGGGCGGTCGAATTTGGACAGGTCAATCGTTGGAAATGCCGCGACACGGTGCATTCGACTGGGATTCAGGGTACAATACATTACCCATTGCCGATATAAGGCCAACAGATCCTAAATGCAATGAACTTCAATGCCCGCAATACTACAGTGCCCTTTCGACTGGGACACTAAGCTCCCACATGTCAAATAAGAGTTCCTATTCCTCCATACAATAGGTACAAAACAGCTCCATACTCATTTATCATTAATGAGTTAAATCAATAATCTCAGTCCCCTTACAGTCTATGGTACAGGCTTCCATGTTAACTTCAAATTCAACCATCCATGAGGCACATCCATGAGTTGGAACTCGTTTTCAATATGCCCCTCCATCATTACTCTCGTAAGGCTCACACCCAGCCGACCCATGTTATCCTGCAAATTTGGGACATCAAGATATGGATCATGGCATTGGCGAGACAAAAACAAGTACAGACATATGCAGAATTTTCAGCAACATACCAGAATGAGCATGCTTATTCCATCCAAGAGTAACATAAGCAGAAACGAAGCCCGCATGCGCATAAAAGCTCAGCAATTCATGCATCACCACCAGCCTACACATACTGACTCTCTTGCCAGCCATACCAAATGCATGAGGACTACATTATATCTCACATGCAGGCAACCAAAGTCATACAGGGAAGGGGGTTCTCATCCAAGTCATGCAGGTCGTAGTCGAAGAGCCCCACCACGAGCATGCAATGCTCATCGTAGTATGGTCGTAGTCGTAGCCGTAGTCATCCTCCACGAGGAACACAAAGCTGGCAAGAAAGTGAAAGGTGCCGAAGAGCACACCTTTGATGACTGACCGTTAGCCAACAGCAACCCACACAGGAACTCTCACTCACCTTTTGGCCAGCTGTCGTGGTCCAAGAGAGCCTCACCACCAGCGTGTCGTGCTTGCCATCCTTCCCCAGTCGCTGCACTGCACGGTGCCTCAGATCACACCCGTTGACGCTCCATGTAACAGCGAGTCATGAGGAGCTCTCACCTTCTTGCCCAGCTCTCACCTTCTTGCCCAGCTCTCACCTCTTGCCCAACGAGTCATGAGGAGCTCTCACCTTCTTGCCCAGCAGGTCATGGTCGAACAGTGCAACCGCGACGAGCATGTCGTGCTTGTCTGTTCGACAGCTGCTGCGAGGCATGCTGTCCTGATGTGATGCTGACGCTGATGCGCTGATGCTGATGCACTGATGCTGATGCTGATGCGCTGATGCTGATGCTGATGCCGATGCTGATGCTGATGCTGATGCGCTGATGCTGATGCGCTGATGCTGATGTGGAAAGCTGATGCTGATGCTGATGCGCTGATGCTGATGCGGAAAGCTGAAGCTGATGCTGATGCACTGATGCTGATGCTGATGCTGATCCGCTGATGCTGATGCGCTGATGCTGATGCTGATGCGCTGATGCTGATGCGCTGATACTGATGCGCTGATGCTGATGCGCTGATGCTGATGCTGATGCTGATCCGCTGATGCTGATGCTGATGCGCTGATGCTGATGCGCTGATGCTGATGCGCTGATGATGATGCGCTGATGCTGATGCGCTGATGCTGATGCTGATGCTGATGCGCTGATGCTGATGCGCTGATGCTGATGCGCTGATGCTGATGCTGATGCTGATGCGCTGATGCTGATGCGCTGATGCTGATGCGCTGATGCTGATGCTGATGCTGATGCGCTGATGCTGATGCGCTGATGCTGATGCTGATGCGCTGATGCTAATGCGCTGATGCTGATGTGATGCTGATGCTGATGCTGATGTGATGCTGATGTGATGCTGATGCTGATGTGATGCTGATGCTGATGCGATGTTGCTGATGCTGATGCTGATGCGCTGATGTGCTGATGCTGATGCTCTGATGCTGATGCTGATGCGCTGACGCTGATGCTGATGCTGATGCTGATGCGCTGATGCTGATGCTGATGCTGATACGCTGATGCTGATGCGCTGATGCTGATCCGCTGATGCTGATGCTGATGCTGATGCTGATGCTGATGCTAATGTGATGCTGATGCTGATGCTGATGTGATGCTGATGCTGATGCTGATGCTGATGCTGATGTGATGCTGATGCTGATGCTGATGTGATGCTGATGGTGATGCTGATGCTGATGTGATGCTGATGTGATGCTGATGCTGATGTGATGCTGATGCTGATGTGATGCTGATGCTGATGCTGATGCTGATGTGATGCTGATGCTGATGCTGATGCTGATGTGATGCTGATGCTGATGCTGATGCTGATGGTGATGCTGATGCTGATGTGATGCTGATGTGATGCTGATGCTGATGCTGATGCTGATGCTGATGCTGATGTGATGCTGATGCTGATGCTGATGTGATGTGATGCTGATGCTGATGCTGATGCTGATGCTGATGTGATGCTGACTTACCTTGGGGAGGGCGTGGAGGACAGTGGCAGGCATGGAATCATCCTCCACCAAGGCCGTGACAGATACTCACCAGCAACACGTTATAAGGAAAGCCCACCTTCTTGCCCAGCAGGTCGTGGTCGATAAGCCCCACCACGAGC